ATCAACAGGAAAACATAAATTAGGGGTGTTGTGCTGACTGACTGCTCTGTTCTCCTATTGGCTGTTATTTGGTGTAGTTACATTTTAGTCCACCAATCACAGTTAAGTAAGAAAGTTGGTGGGCCATTATGCAATATATCGACACCACAACCAAGCAAACTATAGGGATCCTGCGAGGGACGTCTCTAGTAGGCCCCCGTGGTGTCGCCCCCCGCCCCTGGGGCCCTGGAGTACCGCGCTATCCATGGGAGGGCCTGAGTTTCATTAACAACAGGAGGGCCCTGGGAACTCCCCAGCCCCTGGAAGAGGCCCTGGGGGGGGCAGGGGGCAAAATACCTGTGAGAGACCCTCCACCACCTTTGGGAGGGCCCCGAGGAACATCCGCCACTCTCAGATGGCCCTGGGGGCGCCATAACCCCTGGGAAGACACCTGGGGCTGCTACACACAACCCCTAGTAGGGCCCCTGGGGGTGGCCGTTACTGCTCTGAGAGGGCTCGGTAGCGCACCTACCCTAGGGAGGGTCCTTGGGGAAACGCTGCCCTGGGACGGCCACTGGAGTGCGCCGACGTTCACCGAGGAGCCCCTTGGGGCGCCACACCTGGTAGAAGACAAATACGGGAGGGCCCATGGGGCGTTGCCCCGGAGAATCATCTGGGGGCAGTGTTTTTACAATACTTAGACAATGGGAATGTGGCGTTAAAATAAATAAACCGCCCATGGCATTTCCGAGTATCATCGAATTATGAACAATGTAAAAAGGAGAATAAATATCAACAGGAAGAAGAAACATAAATTGGGGGGTGTTGTGCTGACTGACTGCTCTGTTCTCCTATTGGCTGTTAATTGATGTATTTATATTTAGTCCCCTGTGGTGAAAGACTAGAAGTCGACCTTTTTTAGGTTTTTATTGTTCATATAACTGACCAAGGGTAGTACTAATCTGGAAGAAGGAATAAAAGAAGACAATTCTAATGAAAGTGAAGGGAACAATGAAATGACTAATATAATATAACCCCAAACAAAACAAAACCCAGCTGATAAGAAGCATAACATATATATACAAACACTGCATTAACAAGACAGAAGACCCTGGCAAGCCCTGGGGTCCCAACAGCAACACCTAAAGAGGTCCCTGGGGAATGCTGCACTCCATTGGGAAGGCCACTAGTAGCGCTTCAGCATCCTGGGGAGGCACTTACAGAAAGCCCCACCGCCCTGGGAAGGCCCCTGGGGGCACCAACGACCTCCCAGGGCTCCTGGGACTCCACATCCTATGGCACGGCCCCTCAGAGCGCCGTTGTCCCTGAGAGGGCTCAGGGGGCGCTACTGTGCCTGGGTGCGCCGTTGCCCTAGGAATGCCCTGGAAGCGCCGCACCTGTCCAGGGCAAATGGGAGGCCCCAGGAGCGCTGCCCTATCTGACCCCTGGGTTCAGTTGTTTTGCACAATTTAGAAAAATGGGAGATATGACGTTATAATTACACCGCCATCGAATTTCCAGTATCATCACGCAATAAACAATGTAAGGAGAATAAATATCAACAGGAAAACATAAATTGATTGTTGTGCTGACTGACTGCTCCTGTTCTCCTATTGGCTGTTATTTGGTGTAGTTACATTTTAGTCCACCAATCACAGTTAAGTAAGGATTGGTGGGCGTATGCAATATGTCACGACACCACAACCAAGCACAAACTATAGGGATCCTGCGAGGGACATCTCTAGTAGGCCCCGTGGTGTCGCCCCCGCCCTGGGAGGGGCCCTGGGAGCCACCGCTATCCATGCAGGAGGGCCCTGGGGGGTGCCGACAACTGCTGGGAGGGAGGGCCCTGGGGGCGCCTGACCCCTGGAAGAGCCTTGGGGGGGCAAAATACCTGTTAGAGACCCTCCACCACCTTTGGGGGAGGCCCCAGCGAGGAACGCTGCCGCTGAGATGGCCTGGGGGCGCCATAACCCCTGGAAGACACCCTGGGGCTGCTACAACCCCTAGTGGGGCCCCTGAAATCGTTACTACTGCTCCTGAGAGGGGCTCCGGGTAGCCGCACCTACCTAGGGAGGAGGGGTCAGCAGGGCGTCGCTGCCCTGGGATGGCCACTGGGTGCGCCGACTTCCTGCGGGCCCCTTAGGGCGCGCCGCACCTGGTAGGAGCAAATGGGAGGGCCCATGGGGCGTTGCCCCCGGAGAGGTCTGTCTGGGGGCAGTTGTTTTTGCAATACTTAGACCAATGGGAATATGACGTTAAATAAATAAACCGCCCATGGCATTTCAGTATCATCGAATTATAGACAATGTAAAAAGGAGAATAAATATCCAACAGGAAAAACATAAATTGAAGTGTTGTGCTGACTGGCTACTCTGTTCTTCTATTGGCTTTTATTTGGTGTATTTATAATACTAGTCCCTGTGGTGAAAGAAGACTAGAGTCGACCTTTTTTAGAGTTTTATTGTTCATATAACTGACCAAGATGATATGGCATCTGAGAAGAGAACAAAGGAATATTCTAGCGTAGAGAGTGAAGGGAACAATAAAATGACTAATATAATATATCCCCAAAGCAAAAACAAAACCCAATGATAGAGAAACATAACATATATATACAAACGCACGTAACAGACAGAGAAGACCCTGGCAAGCCCTGGGGTCCCAGCAACACCTAAAAAGAGGTCCCCTGAAGTGCGCTGCCTCCATTGGGAGGAAGCCACTAGTAGCGCTTCAGCATCTGGGAGGAGGAGCACCTGAAAGCCCCACCGCCCCTGGGGAGGGAAGGCCTAGAATCTTAACGACCACTCCCAGGGCTCCTGGGACTCCACATCCCTGGCAGGGCCTCAGAGCGCCGTTGTCCCTGAGAGAGGGGCTCAGGGGCACTACTGGCACTTCTGGGTGCCGTTGCCCCTGGGAATGCCCTGGAAGCGCCGCACCTGTCAGGGGCAAATGGGGAGGCCCCAGGGAACGCTGCCCTGTGCAACCCCTGGGTTCAGTTGTTTTGCACAATTTAGAAAATGGAAATGTGACGTTATATAAATACCGCCATCAATTTCCAGTATCATCGCATAATAAACAATGTAAAAAGGAGAATAAATATCCAACAGGGAAAACATAAATTGAGATTGTTGTGCTGACTGACTGCTCTGTTCTCCTATTGGCTGTTATTTGGTGTAGTTACATTTAGTCCACCCAATCACAGTTAAGTAAGGGATTGGTGGGCACATTAATGCAATATGCGACACACAACCAAAGCAAACTATAAGGGATCCTCGCGAGGGGCGTCTCTAGTAGGCCCGTGGTGTCGCCCCCGCCCTGGGAGGCCCTGGGAGCCTGCTTATCCATGGGAGGGGCCCCTAGAACGCCGACAACCCTGGGGAGGGCCTGGGGCCTCCCCAGCCCTGGAAGAGGCCCTGGGGGGGGCAGGGGCAAAATACCTGTTAGAGACCCTCCGCCACCTTTAGGGAGGGCCCCGAGAACCTGCCCGCTGCAGAGATGGCCCTGGGGGCGCCAACCCCTGGAAGACACCCTGGGGCTGCCACAGCCCTGGTTGGGCCTGGGGGCGTTACTGCTCCTGAGAGGGCTCAGGTAGCCGCACCTACCCCTAAGGGGAGGTCCTTGGGGGCGTCGCCGCCCTGGGACGGCCACTGGGTGCGCCGACGTTCCTGCGAGGGAGCCCCTTAGGGTGCCGCACCTGGTAGGGCAAATGGGAGATTGCATGGGAACGTTGCCCAAGAATCAATCTGGGGGCAGTTGTTTTTACAATACTTAGAACAATGGGAGATATGGCGTTAAATAAATAAGCCGCCCTTGGCATTTCAGTATCATCGGAGTATGAACAAATGTAAGGAGAATAAATATCCAACAGGAAAACATAAATTGAGGTGTTGTGCTGACTGGCTGCTCTGTTCTCCTATTGGCTGTTATTTGATGTATTTATATTTTAGTCCTGTGGTGAAAGAAGACTAGAGTCGACCTTTTTTTAGGTTTTATTGTTCATATAACTGACCAAGGGAAGTATGGCATCTGGAAGAGAACAAAAAGAAATATTCTAGTAAAATTAGGAGGAACAATGAAAATGGCTAATATAATATAACCCCAAACAAAACAAAACCCAATGATAAAACATAACATATATATACAAGCGCACGTAACAAGACAGAAGACCTAGCAAGCCCTGTAGGGTCCCAGCAACACCTAAAAAAGAGGTCCCTGAGGCCTGCTGCCTCCATTGGGGAAGGCCACTAGTAGCGCTTCAGCATCTGGGAGGGCACCTGAAGCCCCACCGCCCCTGGGAAGGCCCTGGGGCACCAACGACCCTCAGGGCTCCTGGGACTCATCCCCTGTGGCAGGGCCCTCAGAGCGCCGTTGTCCCTGAGAAGGCTCAGGGCACTGGGTGCCTGGGTGCCCTGCTGGGGAATGCCCTGGAAGCGCACTGTCAGGGGCAAATGGGAGGCCCCCAGGGAGCGCTGCCCTGTACGGCCCTAAGGTTTCAGTTGTTTTGCTGAATTTAGAAAAAATGGGAATATGACGTTATATAAATACACCGCCCATCAATTTCCAGTATCATCGCATAATAAACAATGTAAAGGAGAATAAATATCCAACAGGAAAACATAAATTGGGGTGTTGTGCTGACTGGCTGCTCTGTTCTCCTATTGGCTGTTGTTGGTGTAGTTACATTTTAGATACCAATCACAGTTAAGTAAAGAGAGATTGATGGGCGTATGCAATATGTGCGACACCACAACCAAACAAACTATAGGGATCCCTGCGAGGGACGTCTCTAGTAGGCCGTGGTGTCGCCCCACTGGGAGGGCCCTGGGAGTACCGCTATCCATGGGAGGGCCCTGGGGAGTGGCACCGACAACAGGAGGGCCTGGGGAACCACAGCCCTGGAAGAGGCCCTGGGGGGGGGGCAGGGGGCAAAATACCTGTTAGAGACCCTCCACCACTTTGGGGGAGGGCCCCGAGGTTGCCGCCACCGCTTCTACCAGAGATGGCCCTGGGGCGCCATAACCCCTGGAAGACACCCTGGGGCTGCTACAACCCCTAGTGGGGCCCCTGGGGGTGCCGTTACTGCTCCTGAGAGGGCTCCGGGTAGCCGCACCTACCTAGGGAGGGTCCTTGGGGGCGCCGCTGCCCCTGGGACGCTTTTCTGGGTGCGCCGACACGTTCCTGCGAGGGCCTTGGGGCGCCGCACCTGGTAGGGCAAATGGGGCCCATGGGGCGTTGCCCCCGGAGGTATCTAGGGCAGTTGTTTTGCAATGTAGACAATGGGAGATATGACGTTAAATAAATAAACCGCCCATGGCATTTCCGTATCATCGGAATTATGAACAATGTAAAGAGAATAAATATCAACAGGAAAAGCACTTAAATTAAGAGGTGTTGTGCTGACTGACTGCTCTGTTCTCCTATTGGCTGTTATTTGATGTATTTTATATTTTAGTCCCCTGTGGTGAAAAGACTAGAGTCGACCTTTTTAGGTTTTGTTCATATAACTGACCAGAGATAGTATGGCATCAGAGAACAAAAAATATTCTAGTAAGTGAAGGAACAATGAAAATGACTTAATATAATATATCCCCAGAAACAAACAAAAACTTAATGATAGAAACATAACATATATATACAAACGCACGTAACAAGACAGAAAGTCCTGGCAAGCCCTGGGGTTACTTAACACCTAAAAGGGTCCCTGAGGTCTTTGCCTCCGTCGGAAGGCCACAAGTAGCCTTCAGCATTTGGGAGGGCACCTGAAAGCCCCACCACCGCCCCTGGGGAAGGCCCCTGGGGGCCACCAACGACCCTCCAGGGCTCCTGGGACTCCACATCCCCTGTGCGGGGCCTCAGAGCGCCGTTGTCCCTGGGGAGGGCTCCCGGGGGCGCTACTGGCACCTGGGTGCGCCGTTGCCCCTGGGGCTGCCCCTGGGCACCGCACCTGTCAGGGCAAATGGGAGGCCCCCCAGGGGAGCGCTGCCCTGTGGCCTGGGTTCAGTTGTTTTTGCACAATTTAGAAAAATGGGAGAATGTGACGTTATATAAATACACCGCCCATCGAATTTCCAGTATCATCGCATAATAAACAATGTAAAGGAGAATAAATATCCAGGAAAACATAAATTGGGTGTTGTGCTGACTGACTGCTCTATTCTCTAATGGCTGTTATTTGGTGTAGTTACATTTTAGTCCACAATCACAGTTAAGTAAGGGATTGGTGGACGTATGCAATATGTACGACACCACAGCCAAGAAACTATAGGGATCCTGCGAGACGTCTCTAGTAAACCCCGTGTGTCGCCCCCGCCCTGGGAGGGCCTGGGGAATGCCGCTATCCATGGGAGGGGCCTGGGAGCATAAACAACCTTGGGGAGGGCCCTCTAGAGCGCCACAGTCCTGGAAGGAGGCCCTGGGGTGGGGGGGGCAGGGGGCAAAATACCTGTTAGGGAGACCCTCCGCCACCTTTGGGGAGACCCCGAGGAACGCCGCCGCTTCTGGATGGCCCTGGGGGCCTCATAACCTGGAGGCACCTGGGGCTGCTACAACCCCTGGTGGGGCCCTTGGGGGCGTTACTGCTCCTGAGAGAGGGGGGCTCCGGGTAGCCGCACCTACCTAGGGAGGGTCCTTGGGGGGGCATCCAGCTGCCCCTGGGACGGCCACTGCGCCGACGTTCCTGCAGGGCCCTTGGGGCGCCGCACTAGTAGGGCAAATGGGAGGGCCCATGGGGCGTTGCCCCCGGAGAAGTCTGTCTGGGGGCAGTTGTTTTGCAATACTTAGAACAATGGGAGATGTGACGTTAAATAAATAAACCGCCCATGGCATTTCCAGTATCATCGAATTATGAACAATGTAAAAGGAGAATAAATATCAACAGGAAAACATAAATTGGGGTGTTGTGCTGACTGACTACTCTGTTCTCTAATGGCTGTTATTTGATGTGTTATATTTTAGTCCCCTGTGGTGAAAAGACTGCAAGTCGACTTTTTTAGGTTTCATGTTCATATAACTGTTGACCAAGGGTAGTATATGGCATCTGAAGAGAATAAAAAAGAATATTCTAGTAAGAGTGAAGGAACAATGAAAATGACTAATATAATATAACCCAAACAAAAGCAAAAACCCAATGATAAGAAACATAACATATATATGTAAACGCCGTAACAAGACAGAAGACCTGGCAAGCCCTGGGGTCCCAGCAACACCTAAAGAGGGGTCCCCTGAGGGCGCTGCTCCATTGGGAAGGCCATAGTAGCGCTTCAGCATCCTGGGAGGGCACAAAGCCCCACCGCCCCTGGGAAGGCCCTGGGGGGGAGCACCAACGACCTCCCAGGGCTCCTGGGACTCCACATCCCTGGCAGGGCCCCTCAGAGCGCCGTTGTCCCTGAGAGGGCTCTGGGTGCGCCGACGTTCTGCGAGGGCATAGGGCGCCGCACCTGGTAGGGCAAATGGGAGGCCCATGGGAGCGTTGCCTGATATCTGGGGAGCAGTTAATTTTGTCCACTTAGACCAATGGGAGATATAGCGTTAAATAAATAAACCGCCCATGGCATTTCCAGTATCATCGAATTATGAACAATGTAAAGAGAGAATAAATATCCAACAGGAAAAGCATAAATTGGGGTGTTGTGCTGACTGGCTGCTCTATTCTCCTATTGGCTGTTATTTGATGTATTTATATTTAGTCCCCTGTGGTGAAAAGAAGACTAGAAGTCACGACAACTTTTTTTTAGGTTTTATTGTTCATATAACTGACCAAAGGAAGTATGGCATCTGGAAGAGAACAAAAGAATATTCTAGTAAGTGAAGGGAACAATGAAAATGACTAATATAATATATCCCCAAACAAAACAAAACCCAATGATAAGAAACATAACATATATATACAAACGCACGTAACAAGACAGAAGACCCTGGCAAGCCCTGGGGTCCCAGCAACACCTAAAGAGGTCCCCTGAGGGCGCTGCCTCCATTGGGAAGGCCACTAGTAGCGCTTCAGCATCTGGGAGGGCACCTGAAAGCCCCACCGCCCCTGGGAAGGCCCCTGGGGGCACCAACGACCCTCCCAGGGCTCCTGGGACTCCACATCCCCTGGCAGGGCCCCTCAGAGCGCCGTTGTCCCTGAGAGGGCTCCGGGGGCGCTACTGGCACTGGGTGCGCCGTTGCCCCTGGGTATGCCCCTGGAAGCGCCGCACCTGTCAGGGCAAATGGGAGGCCCCCAGGGAGCGCTGCCCTGTACGGCCCCTGGGTTCAGTTGTTTTTGCACAATTTAGAAAAATGGGAGATATGACGTTATATAAATACACACCGCCCATCGAATTTCCAGTATCATCGCATAATAAACAATGTAAAGGAGAATAAATATCCAACAGGAAAACATAAATTGGGGTGTTGTGCTGACTGACTGCTCTGTTCTCCTATTGGCTGTTATTTGGTGTAGTTACATTTTAGTCCACCAATCACAGTTAAGTAAGGGATTGGTGGACGTATGCAACATGTACGACACCACAACCAAGCAAACTATAGGGATCCTGCGAGGGGACGTCTCTAGTAGGCCCCGTGGTGTCGCCCCCGCCCCTGGGAGGGCCCCTGGGAGTACCGCTATCCATGGGAGGGCCCCTGGGGGCGCCGACAACCTTGGGAGGGCCCTGGGGGCGCCACAGCCCCTGGAAGAGGCCCTGGGGGGGGGCGGGGGCAAAATACCTGTTAGAGACCCTCCGCCACCTTTGGGAGGGCCCCGAGGAACGCCGCCGCTTCTGAGATGGCCCTGGGGGCGCCATAACCCCTGGAAGACACCCTGGGGCTGCTACAACCCCTGGTAGGGCCCCTGGGGGCGTTACTGCTCCTGAGAGGGCTCCGGGTAGCCGCACCTACCCTAGGGAGGGTCCTTGGGGGCGTCGCCGCCCCTGGGACGGCCACTGGGTGCGCCGACGTTCCTGCGAGGGCCCCTTAGGGCGCCGCACCTGGTAGGGCAAATGGGAGGGCCCATGGGAACGTTGCCCCCGGAGGGCATCTGGGGGCAGTTGTTTTTGCAATACTTAGAACAATGGGAGATATGACGTTAAATAAATAAACCGCCCATGGCATTTCCAGTATTATCGAATTATGAACAATGTAAAGGAGAATAAATATCCAACAGGAAAACATAAATTGGGGTGTTGTGCTGACTGACTGCTCTGTTCTCCTATTAGCTGTTATTTGATGTATTTATATTTTAGTCCCCTGTGGTGAAAGAAGACTAGAGTCGACCTTTTTTTAGGTTTTATTGTTCATATAACTGACCAAGGGTAGTATGGCATCTGGAAGAGAATAAAAGAATATTCTAGTAAGTGAAGGGAACAATGAAAATGACTAATATAATATAACCCCAAACAAAACAAAACCCAATGATAAGAAACATAACATATATATACAAACGCACGTAACAAGACAGAAGACCCTGGCAAGCCCTGGGGTCCCAGCAACACCTAAAGAGGTCCCCTGAGGGTGCTGCCTCCATTGGGAAGGCCACTAGTAGCGCTTCAGCATCTGGGAGGGCACCTGAAAGCCCCACCGCCCCTGGGAAGGCCCCTGGGGGCACCAACGACCCTCCCAGGGCTCCTGGGACTCCACATCCCCTGGCATGGCCCCTCAGAGCGCCGTTGTCCCTGAGAGGGCTCCGGGGGCGCTACTGGCACTGGGTGCGCCGTTGCCCCTGGGAATGCCCCTGGAAGCGCCGCACCTGTCAGGGCAAATGGGAGGCCCCCAGGGAGCGCTGCCCTGTACGGCCCCTGGGTTCAGTTGTTTTTGCACAATTTAGAAAAATGGGAGGTATGACGTTATATAAATACACCGCCCATCGAATTTCCAGTATCATCGCATAATAAACAATGTAAAGGAGAATAAATATCCAACAGGAAAACATAAATTGGGGTGTTGTGCTGACTGACTGCTCTGTTCTCCTATTGGCTGCTATTTGGTGTAGTTACATTTTAGTCCACCAATCACAGTTAAGTAAGGGATTGGTGGACGTATGCAATATGTACGACACCACAACCAAGCAAACTATAGGGATCCTGCGAGGGGACGTCTCTAGTAGGCCCCGTGGTGTCGCCCCCGCCCCTGGGAGGGCCCCTGGGAGTACCGCTATCCATGGGAGGGCCCCTAAGGGCGCCGACAACCTTGGGAGGGCCCTGGGGGCGCCACAGCCCCTGGAAGAGGCCCTGGGGGGGGGGCAAGCTGCCTGTTAGAGACCCTCCGCCACCCCTTTGGGAGGCCCCGAGGAACCCGCCGCTTCTGAGATGGCCCTGGGGGCCACTCCATAACCCTGGAAGGTACCCTGGGCTGCTACAGCCCCTGGTAGGGCCCCTGGGGGCGTTACTGCTCCTGAGAGGGCTCCGGGTAGCCGCACCTACCCTAGGGAGGGTCCTTGGGGGCGTCGCCGCCCCTGGGACGGCCACTGGGTGCGCCGACGTTCCTGCGAGGGCCCCTTAGGGCGCCGCACCTGGTAGGGCAAATGGGAGGGCCCATGGGAGCGTTGCCCCCGGAGGGCATCTGGGGGCAGTTAATTTTGCAATACCTAGACCAATGGGAGATATGACGTTAAATAAATAAACCGCCCATGGCATTTCCAGTATCATCGAATTATGAACAATGTAAAGGAGAATAAATATCCAACAGGAAAACATAAATTGGGGTGTTGTGCTGACTGACTGCTCTGTTCTCCTATTGGCTGTTATTTGGTGTATTTATATTTTAGTCCCCTGTGGTGAAAGAAGACTAGAGTCGACCTTTTTTTGGGTTTTATTGTTCATATAACTGACCAAGGGTAGTATGGCATCTGGAAGAGAACAAAAGAATATTCTAGTAAGTGAAGGGAACAATGAAAATGACTAATATAATATATCCCCAAACAAAACAAAACCCAATGATAAGAAACATAACATATATATACAAACGCACGTAACAAGACAGAAGACCCTGGCAAGCCCTGGGGTCCCAGCAACACCTAAAGAGGTCCCTGAGAATCGCTGCCTCCATTGAAGACACTGTGCTTCAGCATCTGGGAGGGCACCTGAAAGCCCCACCGCCCCTGGGAAGGCCCCTGGGGGCACCAACGACCCTCCCAGGGCTCCTGGGACTCCACATCCCCTGGCAGGGCCCCTCAGAGCGCCGTTGTCCCTGAGAGGGCTCCGGGGGCACTGGGTGCGCCATTGCCCCTGGGAATGCCCCTGGAAGCGCCGCACCTGTCAGGGCAAATGGGAGGCCCCCAGGGAGCGCTGCCCTGTACGGCCCCTGGGTTCAGTTGTTTTTGCACAATTTAGAAAAATGGGAGATATGACGTTATATAAATACACCGCCCATCGAATTTCCAGTATCATCGCATAATAAACAATGTAAAGGAGAATAAATATCCAACAGGAAAACATAAATTGGGGTGTTGTGCTGACTGACTGCTCTGTTCTCCTATTGGCTGTTATTTGGTGTAGTTACATTTTAGTCCACCAATCACAGTTAAGTTAGGGATTGGTGGACGTATGCAATATGTACGACACCACAACCAAGCAAACTATAGGGATCCTGCGAGGGGACGTCTCTAGTAGGCCCCGTGGTGTAGCCCCCGCCCTGGGAGGCCCCTGGGAAATACCATATCCATGGGAGAGCCCTGAGACGCCGACAGCCTTGGGAGGGCCTGGGGCGCCACAGTCCTGGAAGAGGCGGGGGGGGCGGGGGCAAAATACCTGTTAGAGACCCTCCGCCACCTTTGGGAGGGCCCCGAGGAACGCCGCCGCTTCTGAGATGGCCCTGGGGGCGCCATAACCCCTGGAAGACACCCTGGGGCTGCTACAACCCCTGGTAGGGCCCCTGGGGGCGTTACTGCTCCTGAGAGGGCTCCGGGTAGCCGCACCTACCCTAGGGAGGGTCCTTGGGGGCGTCGCCGCCCCTGGGACGGCCACTGGGTGCGCCGACGTTCCTGCGAGGGCCCCTTAGGGCGCCGCACCTGGTAGGGCAAATGGGAGGGCCCATGGGAACGTTGCCCCCGGAGGGCATCTGGGGTCAGTTGTTTTTGCAATACTTAGAACAATGGGAGATATGACGTTAAATAAATAAACCGCCCATGGCATTTCCAGTATCATCGAATTATGAACAATGTAAAGGAGAATAAATATCCAACAGGAAAACATAAATTGGGGTGTTGTGCTGACTGACTGCTCTGTTCTCCTATTGGCTGTTATTTGATGTATTTATATTTTAGTCCCCTGTGGTGAAAGAAGACTAGAGTCGACCTTTTTTTAGGTTTTATTGTTCATATAACTGACCAAGGGTAATATGGCATCTGGAAGAGAACAAAAGAATATTCTAGTAAGTGAAGGGAACAATGAAAATGACTAATATAATATAACCCCAAACAAAACAAAACCTAATGATAAGAAACATAACATATATATACAAACGCACGTAACAAGACAGAAGACCCTGGCAAGCCCTGGGGTCCCAGCAACACCTAAAGAGGTCCGCTGAGGGCGCTGCCTCCATTGGGAAGGCCACTAGTAGCGCTTCAGCATCTGGGAGGGCACCTGAAAGCCCCACCGCCCCTGGGAAGGCCCCTGGGGGCACCAACGACCCTCCCAGGGCTCCTGGGACTCCACATCCCCTGGCAGGGCCCCTCAGAGCGCCGTTGTCCCTGAGAGGGCTCCGGGTTTGTGAGACCCGCGTGGCCACTTCCGTGGGCAAGGCACAGAGCAGGGCGCAATACTTTTGCCAGTCGGTCGCTCGTGAGCCGGCGAGGGCTGCTTCCACATGGTCAAGCCAGTCCTCGACGTTGTGGTTGAAAGTCGGCAGAGAGATCCGTCCGTCCTCCATCCTGTGTGAGTGCTTATCTCCGGGAGTCACCATTGTAGGGGTATCGAGATATTAATGTTGTCTAGCACTCAGGATGGAAGGAAACTCTAATGTGGTTTTCTTGTATAATATAAGTTACATGATAGACAGTCTGGTGCTGGAGGTGCTGGAGGAGGTGTTGCTTGTTCAGGAAGATGGGCAGAATGAGAGTTGGTTGGTGAGGAAGCTCAGAGAAGGACAGCTGGTGGGTCGCCATGCTCGCTGGCGGGAGCGAGGACCGCCAGGCAGGCGAGGAGAAGCTAAGGCAGCCAGGCAGCGGCGGAGGAGGAGGTGTTGCTTGTTCAAGAAGTATGGTCAGAATGAATCTCAATGGAGAGACAGAGCTTATATACCCAGCAGCAGCCGCCAGTCCTCTATGAATCATGTTGGGAAAACCCAGAAAGTTGCCGGTGAGTAGTTTCGTTGTTAAGCAACCGTACCATCTGGGGACAGCTCTCGCTTGGTTGCTAGGCGACGGCACGTCGGAATGAGGTAACAGGTGGTGGCTGTGGCTACGCAGTTGTAAGCAGTTGTAGGGGAGACGTCCACTACAGTGTAAATATTAACCTCTCTTCTCCCCCTTTACAAATGTTTAACAGTAGTGGGATAGGTAAACTTCTACCCCCCTACATGGGCCTAAAAGCTCCTGATTGGACAGCCATAATTTCGAGAATCAGTTATTGATTAATCTCAATAGAAATATTTGCAAATAAACATGTTCGTATGCTATGCTGCTTATTTTTCTCTTTAGTTAACTATGTTTTATAATTTACTGTGGATTTATTTTAATATTTGAGACAATTAATAATTTTTTTGTTACCTTTACTTTTACTTGAGTTGCATTTTGTCATTGTAACAATACTTTTAAGTAACAAAGCCCGGTACTTTTTACAACTCTGGTGTTAAAAAAAAAAACATCAACTTGAGAAAAAAGATCCTGTAATAATAAAATCTCAAGTTATCAGAGTGTGACCCATTACAAACTCCATTTTCTTTGAAGTTACAACAACATAAACTAAAACATTCTAAATAGCAGACAATATGAACGAACATGAACTCACCAAACCTAATCATGCGTACAACTTAACCTGTACTGTGAAAAAAATCTACAGTTTAGTAACTGTTTCGAGTCTGAACTGATTTACTCATGTGTCCCTCTCGTTGTAGAGTCGCTCCTACTGGACTAATTATAAATAGGTACTTATATTGTCATCTAGTAATAACGCGATTCAATACCATTTTGTGCCCAGGAGCAGTTTGGTAATAACTCGCATCCAGCTAATTAAATTAGAATTATGATCTGTAACTTATATATTATAAATAAAGATAATTTTAAAAGTTTTAATTTCATATATTCGACGATGAAAATTCCTGTATATGCCACTGATCGGCTTGTTAGCCGCTTGGGCGATCGGTCACGCCTCTTTTCATTTATATTCTTCACCAAAAGATCGGCTCGCTAGCCGCCCGGGCGATCGGTCACGTCTCTGTCACGCACTGTTGGCAAATACTGGGCATGCACCGGCTCCTGAATGTACCTGAACCCGCTCCAGTGTTGGTCAAGTCTTCTCTTGAAAGAGCTCACACTCGGTGCCGTCACAACACTCTCTGGTAGATTGTTCCAAGAGTTTACAACCCTCACTCCGAAAAAGTTTGCCCTCACGGTTTTCTGGACTTGCGGCTTCTTCAATCTTGAGCTGTGACCCCTTGTGGGGCGAGCGTCCGCCAGCTCCAAGTAAGGACACTCAACTGAGTAGTGCCCCCTGAGATGCTTATAAACCTCAACTAGGTCCCCCCTTGCCCGTCTGTAGTATAAGCTAGGCAAGTTCAGGCGCTCCAATCTCTCAGGGTAGCTGAGGTGCCGAAGTGCAGGCACCAGTTTGGTGGCCCTCCTTTGAACATTTTCAACCAACTGACAGTCCCTAGCATATCTCGGGGACCAGATGGGGTGACAGTACTCCAGATGGGGAAGCACTTCACTCCTGAAGATCGTCACGAGGGACGGACCGTCTAGATATCTGAACGACCTTCTTATAAGACCCAATAATTTATTTGCCTGATTTACCTTCTTCTCACAATGGCCCGAGAACTTCAGCTCATTGTCAACATACACACCTAGGTCCTTCTCACACACAGTCTCAACTAGTACATTTTCTTCATCCCGTTGGGACATATGATACGCCTCCTTACCGTTGGTACGCCCCAGGTGCATCCTCTTACACTTCGTGACATTGAATCTCAGCAGCCATTTTCATCGCCTCAGGAATTTTCTTTGTTTGCGTCACGGTATTTCCTGGTACGAAATTAGCTTTGAAATTTTCCTTCTTCATGAAAATATTGCACCACTGTTAAAAACAATGTCTAACAGTCCAAGCGCACCACGTCGCCCGCCTCCTGACCTTGAGCTCGACAAATTGGTTAACAGTGCGTCAATAAATAATTCTTTGATCAAGATAGATGTTTAATCCACTTGCTAAATCTTAATATACTTTACAAACTTTTTACTCAAATGATTGTATATCAAGTATGCTATATATCAATTACACGAGGGGAAATAAAATCTCACGAAATAACCAAAATCATCTACGAGGCGGTATGTGAGGCTATCATGTTTTGAGTGCGTGCACTATTTGCTTCGCCACACTGGAGCTGGGTTAGTGTGTGTTGTTGTAGGTTTATGAGAAGAGGTGTAATCTTAATATCTACAACTAAAATGTTCTCGATAAATATACAGTGAATTAACATCTAAACTGTGCGTCATGGTCGTGTCTAAGGTAATACGATACGTCACCCTGCCGTTTCGTATGGTGTGGCTGGTGTTGTATAATTGCGTCATGACCACGCTCTCCATCACCCCTATGATACGGGAGGTAATGCATGAGCACTTTCTCAAGAAGACAGACGTGAAGAAGGGAAGCCCATATATAGACTTCGTTAAGGATGGTGCTGCAGACTACCGCTATTTTTGGGAGAGGACCAAATTATTTTTGTTCATGTAAGTGAATCCCAATAGGCACACACATGAACATACGTATCCCTTATCTAAACTCACGCTAACTTTTATATATTTATATATGCTGCTTATGAAGTAATGTACTGTAAGCACAGTAGCGACTGATATGCGAGCACGGAAAATTATTGTGATGTATTGCAGAGGATGATTAAGTTACGTCAATGCAATATGAGACACTTCTGTAAACACATTCATTCATGGCCGTCTTGTTTAAAAAAATCATTTGAAAATTTGAATCGATGGTTGATGAGTGAGTGCATGTTAAGACACTAAATTATATCTGATGTACAGGATTTTCTAATTTTATATAAATATTAGCCTAATAAGGGTGAATCATCGTGACCATGAAGAGTCTCAGATTTTGTTGTGGTCTGGCGAGATGACGCAGGGGGAGAAGGTACTGAACCTGAGGAGGACTGGGAGGTCGGTGACGAGGAAGACTGGGGGGCGGTGACGGGAGGACGAGGAGGACTGGGAGGAGGGTGACGAGGAGGACTGGGAGGAGGGTGACGAGGAGGACTGGGAGGAGGGTGACGAGGAGGACTGGGAGGAGGGTGACCAGGAGGACTGGGAGGAGGGTGCTGAGGAAGACTGGGAGGAGGGTGACAAGGAAGACTGGGAGGGGGGTGATGTCGAGGAGGACTGGGGGAGGGTGGCGAGAAAGGCTGCGGGATTCACAAATCACTAAATACAGACGAATAGATGAACAGATAAATGAATGTATATTTTACATATGACACTGCATTGTATTTGTCCACGAATATGTGTCCATATGATACTCAAGGAAGAATAGTTGTGGTGTGTCTAAAACTAATAGTCATAGTGTGGTGGCACGCTACCTCAATACCTCTAATCCATCAGTGAAGGTTATCGTCAACATGGGGGACGAGGGTGAGTGGTGGAGGGAGACCAGCCAAGACAAACTGCTCACTCATGATACGTTTCAGTTTTCCCAGCAAAGTTATAAAAATTCATTGCGTCCAAGGGGGTAAACATCCATGGTTATTATTGTGTAATAATGAAGTGCAGAATCAGATAATTTCCCTGTGTCGTATTGGCAGCGTCTATTAGCCTAGAAAAATAATTACTATATAGTTTGCTGGGTGATGTCCATATACAAAGATCCCTCGGGTGAAGCTGCAGTAACTATCTTGTTTTCTTTGTAAATTTTAACTAACCTTTCTTCCCTTTCACTTCTATTACACAATCTGTGTGGTCGTACTTCCTGTGCTTTTCTCCCCTTCCCTGCCTTTGCAATAGAATCTGGGAGGTCCGGAGCTAATGTGGATTGTTGCTTTGCTACGTTAAGATTTAATCATACAATAGAATCATCTTCTACAATAATTTCCAATAAGTTCATTGAACTTCACAACTTCTAATGCCTTATTTAAATCTTCAAAAGATAATCCCAATACGTCAGTGATACTATAATTTATTGATGCATAGACCAGAATTATTGCCATGTCAATAAATATAACTTGAAACCTAATTAACATAATCCTATCTGACAATGACCAATATTCCTTAACATAATTGTCAACCTCTGCTTTGTGCAATTCTCAGTCATTTCAACTCCTGACTATATAAAGAGATTCTTCTCCAACAATGCTATCTGAACTTTTTCATTTTACTTCATTTAATGCTAGAATGTCTCATGTAATCCTTTCATTTCCCTGCAAACTTTGCACCGTCATATAATATTACAGGCTCCTATCATGAGTTTGTCTTCTCATACTTCGATTGAGACAGTGTTTACCAGCTAAAGGTGGCACACTGCCTACAACCACCAGAAAAAACAATATACTGTATAAGTGAATACTGTAGGTTCATAGAAAGTTTTAAATAAACAATAGTGGTCAGAGGTCACTCAAACCTGACTCTCGTAAAGGTCCCGACCACCACACGATCAGGTTTAAAGAAAGGAAACTAATAAAACCTCGACGATATGGACGAGGGAGTAATCTCACCTCCAAAAGTGGGCCCAGCTTCACTAACACTGCTGAGATACGAAGTTAACTAATTGTGCTATCTACTGCACATCTCTACTACGTACTACTAGCTATGCTATCTACTGCGCATCCACACTTGGGCGAACCAAGGCAAAACTTCTTCAGAGTAGATAAAAGATATTCTTCCAAAGGCAAAACTAGTTATGGTCTTTCCTTATTTAGAAAGTGGGCGGAGATGAAGGGAAACTATCCAATCACATTCGTCGATCCATACACTCTAGACAAGATGATGCCTGTGTGAAATGTTTTACATAAGAACATAAGAAAATAAGAGTCTGCAATAGGCCGGTTGGCCTGTGCATGGCAGCTCCTGTCGAGAGTTACTACCACTCTCAATCATCCATGAATCTATCTAGCCTCCTTTTAAAACTTCCCAGCGTTCCAGCACTTACTACAAAGTTGCTAAGCTTGTTCCACTCGTCCACCACCCTATTTGTGAACCAGGTCCTTCCTATCTCCCTCCTAAACCTTAACTTATCCAACTTAAATCCGTTGCTACGATTCCTATCCTGCTCGGATATTATAAGAACTTTATCTATATCCCCTTTATTGATTCCTTTCACCCAGTTAAATACTTCTATCATATCTCCCCGCACTCTTCGTCTGTCTAGGGAATGAAAGTTTAGTTTCTTTAACCTATCCTGTTATGGAAGGTTTCTAAGTCCCGGAATAATTTTCGTCATTCTTCGCTGCACCGACTCCAGTGAATTACTGTAGATATCCATTCTATAATAAGGGCACCAGAACTGAACCGCATAATCGAGGTGCGGCCTGACTAGCGCAAGATATAGTTGCAATAAGACCTCTGCACTCTTGTTACTTACACTTCTAGATATAAAACCTAATACTCTGCTTGCCTTATTTCGGGTTGTATAATAGAGAAAACTGCCTTATTCCTGCCTTGCAAAAGCTTACGAGATCTCAAAAGTCACCGTAAGCTATGAAGAAAAGTCAGTCATTTTAAACTGAGGTGTGGACATCGTAATTCTTTAGTGAATCACCACCGCAGAAGTTTATGAACTTTTTAGCACTTATGATGTTCGTAACCTGGGCGTCTGGCAGCCGCTGGCCACCCTGTGTGCAAAGACCAAACAGTGCCGAGGCAACCACCAAGGCAATTACGTGATACGACTAGTGTAGAGCCTCTGCTGGGGAGTGTGGCCCTATATTAGCACTCCTGGTCTCTGCTTCACCACTAGATTCTTGGTGGGTTACCTTTAATTAGTTTATAGTGTCACCAGCTTCCGACTCGTAGTTGCCGCACTAGCTACTTGAGTCAACCAACACCATGGCCGCCTCGAAGATCATGGTTTATACCTTGTTGCCATGGAGAATATTTACTGCTCTGGTGGTGGCGTTTACTGCGGCTCTCCTCGTCCCGCTCTTGAAGTTATGCCCGGAGTTTGTGTCCACTTTCATTATTGGCAAAAAGAACTTTTTAAAGAGCAATATTCATATCGTCTACTTGAAGGTTCACCTACGTGATCCGCAACAGTTCTGGCAAATACTAAAGTCAAATCTTAGAAGGTGAGCTGTGAAGATTATTATTTATTTGTTCTTACAAATTTTTCTTCTTGTAGTAACATGTTTACATACAACGAAGTGTAATTATACACAATACATATGGTCGTGATCGTCGTCTCGTTCATACGTGTTGACCTTTTTGACCTTCATATATCAGTCCCGCCACAACAGCATTTTTATAATAGATGTGCAATATAATTCTTTGTAGGCGAGTTAACTTATCTTCAAACATCACTATTTTGTTTAACATCAGCAAGTTTCTGCCAGAATTAACATCTTAGTAAAATCACAATGTGGAACAGTAGTACACCTGCACTAACCTTCAATTCCGATATGGTATGTTTACAGAGATCAGGACGTAAATTTTATAAGATAAGTTGGCTTTCGGGCGTTATCACTTGTCAACACAACCCCTGAGAGTACTGAGGTGAGACTGTGGACTCGGTGCCTCAGAGGGATGTCAGACCACCTGGCGTTTATCAGTGTATACCATAAACAACCATCATCACAACAACGCATGTATTTAAAATTTTGTGTTCGTTGTTGCTGTATTTCAATATGAAGTTTTTACTCTCTGAAAGTGATTGCTGTGCAGATATTGATATTGCACCCGGACACACACACACACACACACACAAAATACCACACCCGACACACACACACACACACATAATACCACACCCGACACACACACTAACACCCTCAACACATAAGCACACACTGCCATCCCCGACAGATACTAACACACACACACACACACACACACACACATTTTCAACAAACTAGCTGGTGACCGCAAAAGCGGACCATCAAAGCTTAAGATAGGTAACAACAACATTGACTATGTCTCCTCTTTTAAATATCTCTGTGTCCCTATCCCCTGTACCTCACCTGCCTTACAACAGCTAACCCGCCAATGTACTGATGGGTTAAAACCTCTTAAATGTGTAGCGAGGTACACCCCACATTATGGCGCTGATATCAAGTGTCAAAACAACGTACATACATAGGTACCTAGGATATAATTATGCTCTCTGATAGAAAGTCCTCAGAATTATCCTAGGAATCAATATGAGGAAAGAGCTATGAATACTCAGTGTCAGAGAAAGAATAATTGAAGAAAACCTTATGATAGGTCCGAGGCTCTTGCGTTGTGATCCAGATAACATTGCTTCTAGGAAGCTGCTGGAATATATGAATCATTGAACTGGTGAATATGAATGGATCCAAACTACTATGAGGATGTTTGGACTAGACCATCTGTATAAAGATGTGACAGCAGCCATGAACAGTTCCCTTTGGCATTACGACACCCACATACCCGCCTAAACGACTGACCACATCTAATCCTTATCTCCAACAGACTGTCAAAGTGAGAGCTCTTGAACACACACATAACATACAAACTGAAAATCACATCACACAGACCACCTACATTGACTGCTCTCTTAACATTGTCTGTGGGAGGGCTGGAAGTGCTCATTGTAATTCAGCCTAATGGTAATATAATAGAGAAAGGAGTTAGAATTATTATTTTGGATATCCACTCTACAAACTGAACTATTTGCCACACTCACAGCCCTGAAACTTGTTGAAAACACTGCCACTGACAATCTCATTATCACGGACTCCTTATCCTCACTACTTGCTCTTGATACCCACAACACAGATTGTCACCCGCTTGTCTCTGAAGCCAGACACAAATATACAGTGTGTATCTTGTTGACGGGGGTATCAGGATCAAGCTGCCGTGTGTTTTCCAACAAAGACACTGATGAATACAATCTAGGACTGTCAAACAGAACCTTAAAAACTGTAATAATGAAAGAACTTGATGAAAATGAATTCAGTAGACAAATTCAAACAGGCACTAGTCAATCCATTGTTTACCATGATGAGATGTATCAAGTAAATATGTATATGGAGCAAGTAACAAGATCACTAGATTACAAGATGCTGTAACCGATAGACTAAGGCAGATGTGAACAAAACTAAATGTAAAGTGTGTGGCCAGACATTATGCCACGCATTCCAACACTCCGTCTTAGACTGTGAGAAAATAGAACAGCACTTATATCTGATGGCAAGATAGCTGATATACTAAAACTGTAGTAGGTAGCTACCAAACAGGGAGGTACTACCGCCTGGGAAGATATTGGAAGCATAATATATTGTCTAATGGTAGACCCTGCTGCCATTTAGCATCACGAAAATTGTGACCAAGTCCCAAATTACTGATTTGACCTTTTGCCACATTTACACACAATTGCAGGGTTTCAATTGTTTCTCTTACTATTGACAACACAACATACATATATTGTTTCTCACTTTTGATTTATTTATTTTTATTTATTTATTTTTATTATTATTATTATTATTATTATTATTTTATAATTTTATTTTAAATTTTATATTTAAGAAAATATTTACTATGAATTATTATTATTATTATTATTATTATTATTATTATTATTATTATTATTATTATTATTATTACTATTAAATTTCTCCCCCGATGTGGGTCAGTAACCTGTGCCAAGGTGGGCTAATCCCCGTAAAAAAAAATCGCATCTAATACCTAAGCAAACTTGTATGTACCGAGCCAAATAAACAACATACTGGATACTCTGCAACACTCAATACCATAATATCCTGACTACTGGGTTCTGATAAACACCCTTTGTGGCGTCTACCCGGTAATTCTATTTGTACTACCGCTCACAGGATGAGTATGCAGTGCACAATAAACTAGCTGCTCCCCGCAGCAAAAAAAACTCCGACACATGCACACTAACACACCCGACATAAATGCTATCACCCTTGACAGACACACACATACTATCAATTCATCAACTCCATTCATGCTTTTGTGGCAAGGAAGAATTTACAGACGGGAAGGTGAAAATCAATATGCAGATGTAGCATATAGGTATGAAAGATCATCCCTGGCTCAGAGCAATACAGTAAGCAGAGGTGTATGGTTTCAGAGCTTGGTCAGAGACGTTCATGGAGGCGGAGGAGGGAGGGAAGGCGCCTAACCCGAAGCTGATGCGCCTCAGTGACCGCTCCCTGAGTGACCTTTTGGACTTTGCCAAGCCTGGTCGACCTTACATCATCAACTTTGGGTCGTGTACCTGACCTCCGTTCATGGCCAACCTAGAGAGGTTCCGTAAGGTGAGTTCTGCACCCACTATTGACTAATATATAATATGTTGATTTTGTCATGAGAAACGAATTTTGAGAGGAGGGGTTCTCCTGAAGATTAACCCTCCAGTATATTTCACTATATGATTTACCCTTCACTGCGGGGGCGCCACTTTTAATATTTCATTTGACCAACGTAAAGCGATTTTACCTAGGACAGAGAGACCCTGTACACGAGGGGTTAAACGGCCTAATGCTAACATGACCAAACTAGCCTTAATTTATATGAGATAACCTAACTTAATCCCCATATGGAGGAGTCACTATGATGCCTCTCGCCTACAGGTTACGGAAGACTTCTCGGGGGTGGCGGAGTTTGTGTTGGTGTACGTGGCCGAGGCTCATCCCACTGACGGCTGGGCCATCAAGGGTAATGTCGAGATCTCCTCCCATAAGTGAGTTTGGTTGTCGTGTGTGTGTGTGTCGTGACAAAGTTTTATCGAATTTGTTAAACGGGTTCGGTTTTGGATAAGAGAGAAGGTTTGATTTTGGAGTAAGGAGCAACCACAGCGAAGGTCAAAGTTCTACACTGGTCATACATTCGTGTTCCTTTGAGCTGCCTTAATGACCCATCGTGCTGGTAGTGAGTGAGTGTACGACAGCTTCGTTTATACTGTGTCAATAATTTAGCGTTCTAAATCAATCTTGACATATAAAAATGGTCTTAGTGTCAAATTAAGTGGTAACAAATATAAAATGATGCATTATTAGTTCAAAGTCCACATATTCTTAAAAATTCAGTGTCTCCACCCACCCTTCCCGCCATCTGTAGACATGCTGGTAAATGCTTGTGGTGGTTTCAACAGGCACTAATATAATTAGTACTGTGCTGATCAACAGGACCATGGAGGAGAGATTAGCAGCGGCACAGCGCATGTTGGATTTGGAGCCCCTGGAGTGCCCAGTGCTGGTGGACTTGCTCACAGACGAGACCAGCAAGACTTATGGTAGTGTGCCTGAGAGGCTTTACATCGTCCAGGACGGAGTCATCGTTTACAAGGGGGGTCAAGGACCCAATAATTATAAGGTATAGTGCACATTAATCACCTGCTTCCCTTTTATTGATATTTACTTTTTCTTAATCATATTAAATTACACAGGTGCCTCCTGGTAACTGTGTGTCAGTAGTTGCACACAGAGGTGGTCAGTAATGTATTTGACAATAGTCAAATACGTATTTAAATGCAATATGTATTTAAATACAGTATTTATAAATAGTTTTGAGCGAGTCTCAAATGCGTACTTAATTACATTTTCAGATATATTTAGCATTTATAAATACTTTACTTTCAAAAACATTTTCATAAACATTATACAATTACCGTATACGTTGAGCTGATATGTTATAAAAATGTTCCGAAAATTTTACAATAAATCTACCGAAATTCCCGCGGTCAGATATGGCAGCACCACCAAGTCTCCAACAAAGGTACAGCGGTAGTCTTCAAACAATAATCGGTAGGCTGGCTTTTGCCAGAGTTTCTCATCATGACTTCAAGCTATGATGGGTCAGGCTAGCCCTAGGGAAAATACCAACGTTCAGCCGAAAATTTCCCTTATGCGAGAAGTGCTCGTGGCAGCAGCTAGAAGTTTCTCACGGGATGATGAAGATGCATCGCCTCGGTCCTCGGACAACGACGAGTATTTTAACTTTGACAGTTCATCACCGAAATCTGCAGCACAAACCCCAGAAATGGTGGTACTAACATACCTAAATGATCCAGACAACAAATTAACAAGTCTTCACAAGTATCCCCTAATTCTTGATATGTTTTTGAAATACAACATCACGTTGCTTTCGTCAGCACCAGTTGAACGACTGTTTTCCTTTGCTAAGCTGATTTCACTCACCTTAGGAGAGGAAGATTGTCCGACAAGCTTTTTGAGAGGTTGGCGCTAATGAAGGCCAATACCGCCAAGTAAACTTAGTAAAGTCGGCAATATGCCAATACCTCTACGAGCCCCTACCTGAGATACAGTTACCAGTTAGTCGCTATGGTCAATGGTCAGCCAATGGGCGAGTAAATAAAAAAACTATTGGAAAAGCAGCAACTAGCGGCCGGAGGGTATGAACATATGTTTTAAAAGATTTGGAACTAAATTCATATGTAATCTTAGAATCTTAGAACTGTATTTGAAATGCATTTGACAGGTATATAAATACAATGTGGCAGTATTGTATTTACAATTTAATACATTCGTACAAACTGTAATGTACAGTACCTTGTATTTAATTAAAAATTTACTAGAGCAATGTATTTATGATCATTTCTGATTATACGTAGGAAACTTATTGTGTGTTTTTTCTATCTAAAATGATGCTGTTACTGATGTTTCATATTTTACAGCTGGCTGAGGTTGAGGAGTGGTTGGAGAAGTACAAGGGGCAGTAGGGGAAAGATCTACTCTCGACTCCTCATCCGGAGGTAACAACATGCAACAAGACCATGTTGTCGACACACCTGCTGCAGGACACGAAGAGAACACACACACACTGATTATACAAGATCGCAGTTATTATTAATGTTGTATAAGAACGGAGACAAATGAAAGATAGTATTAGTTCATACCCAGACAATTGTGGGTTTCATTTGTGGGTTCCATTTGATGTCGGAAACAAAATGGGTATTGTGTAGAGAAGGATCCGATTGTCTTTATTATTACTTTATTTTCACTGTTGTGTCTTTATTATTACTTTATTTTCACTGTTGTGTCTTTATTATTACTTTATTTTCACTGTTGTGTAGGTCAGTATTAAATGATGCTCTGCTTGAAAGGTGTTGATACCACAGTAGACGCTGAGGAATTTATTGGCGTATTCAGTAGTGAAAATGAAATATGAATGAGAGTATTATTAAGGATTTCCAGACACACATTATATATATATATATATATATATATATATATATATATATATATATATATATATATATATATATATATATATATATATATATATATATATATATATTATTGGATTACTGGAAGGATTATTAATTCCTAAAACCTGTGGGACAGTAGATGGAAGACGGTGTAAGAGGAAGTAATTTAACTGGGTTATATATTGTACTGACACTATTCGATGGTGGATCTGTGACGTTATGTCTGGAAGAAGGATCTGTTGCCACGTGCATGACGAGTGAACTGGAAAAGTAAGTGACTATAGTTGTACTCTGAAGATAATGACGGTGAGAGATCTTTCTTCCGAGTTCCACATCATCACAAGTTCCTCTCTCCTTTTAACACCATCTGGTCAAAACTATAGAGCTGACAGGTTAACTATGTCCACTAGAGTTAAGAATGATTGTTTGAGTTATAGATTAACTCATTTCTGTTTTCAAAAGAAGAAAGTTTTTTCAGGAAGTGAGGAGTATAATTTTAAACCATTTAGTTTTCAAAACACAAAAAATAGTTTTGTATCATGGTTGAATTTTAACTGCTCGCCCCTTTTACAGTGAGGATATATAAACAAGATAATATTCGTGCATTGTGTTCCAAGGTTAAAACAGGGGGAGATAAATAGATAGATAAATAATATTCAGTTAAAACGGTCATACAACTTCACAGACTCGGCAAGTACTGTATATAGGTAATTTCTGGCATAAATACTGTACATTAGTATAGTACTGAGAGAGAGGGAGAGAGTTTGCATTAAATGTGCCCAGCACTATAAATGTGTCTAGCAGTGGTACTCAACAGGTGGGCTATAGTGCACTTTCAAGGTGGGCCCCCGGGCAGATGTTCGATATACAAATGCATAAAAATGATGAAACAACGATGAACCGTTGTGTAAACAACGTTTGGCACACACAACTTGATTGATATCTTTGACCAGCTGAATAAACTTGATCTTGAAACTGTGATTTACTTTTTTCTTTCAATTATTTGAAAGCCAAGAATCAGAACTGGACTAGGAAAGTCAACTATGATTTTACAATGTTTGAGACATTCTGTGATGTTGCGCAGGAAGAAGTTGATGCTCGTCTCAGTGCAGAGATAACTAGGCACCATGAAACTTTGAAGAAAGAATTCGCCCAATACTTCCCTGACATTGAAGAAATGAACCTAGGATTGGTGAGAAATCCATTTTCCCTTGAACCTAATTCTGTTTCAGACCCTGGAGATGAAATTTGACTCTGGAGTAAAGGAGCTGTACAAGAAGTTTTCTGTGCAGATATTCTGGGCCCAAGTCATTGACTTCTATTCGAAGATTGGAAAACTTGCTTTGAAATCACTTCTCCCTTTCAGCTCGATATACTTGTGCGAGTCGGGCTTTTCTACATTAAAAAAAAAACTGGAACGTCGAGTTGATGCTCTTTGCACTATCCACAACTGCTCCCGAATCGACATGCTTGTTAGAAAGAAGCAGGCACAATCGTCTCCTATCTGAAGCTGTGATCATGGACAGACTATGAAATGCCCATCAAAAACAAATCTGGCAACGCCAGGTTCCAGCTGATAATAATAATAATAATAATAATAATAATAATAATAATAAAGTGAAAGGCTTGGTGTAACCACTATGATATAACTCCCGAGGTTATGATCTGTGTATTATACTTGGGACAACCATCTATACTTCTCCAGGCACCTCAATTATCTTACTCTCGTTTGCAAATAATTATGAAAAGATCCTTCAATGGCGAGGAAACGGTACTTATGCTGTGAAAGGTGTGTCATGGTGTAAGAGTCACGATGAGAGTGGGCGAGTGGTTGAGAGGCAGAGCCAAGGTCCACCAGGTTTAACAGATGTTGTGTTCTCACGCTGGGTCACTTGTGTACCCTGAACCCTAGCCTACCTACAGTATATATAACTTTTATTAAATGATTTGTTACGAAACTTTTTATATGAGCTGTCTTATAACAGTGATCTCCGTGTACTAATATGAGATGATTTTCAATTTTACAACTTAGTCTCATATATACAGTAGAGTATAGGCAGCAGATCAGTATATACCAAAAATATAGAAGACACATGTGGTAGTGTAGCACTTATTAATAAGGTAGTGGGTGGCACTCGTCAATAAAGTGGTGGGTGGCACTCGTCAATAAAGTGGTGGGTGGCACTCGTCAATAAAGTGGTGGGTGGCACTCGTCAGTAAAGTGGTGGGTGGCACTCGTTAACAATGTGGTCGGTGGCACTCGTCAATAAGGTAGTGGGTAGCAGCCGTCAATAAGGTGGTAGGTAGAACTCGTTAGTAAGATGGTGGGTGGCACTCGTCAATGAGGTGGTGGGTGGCACTCATCATTATGGTGGTGGGTGGCACTCGTCGCACTCGTCAGTAAAGTGGTGGGTCCAGCACGTCAACGAGGTGTGTGGGGTGGCACTCATCGTCAAGGTAAGGTGAAGTGAGGGTAACCGTCAATAACACTCGTACAGTATATATAACTTTTATTAAATGATTTGTTACGAAACTTTTTATATGAGCTGTCTTATAACAGTGATCTCCGTGTACTAATATGAGATGATTTTCAATTTTACAACTTAGTCTCATATATACAGTAGAGTATAGGCAGCAGATCAGTATATACCAAAAATATAGAAGACACATGTGGTAGTGTAGCACTTATTAATAAGGTAGTGGGTGGCACTCGTCAATAAAGTGGTGGGTGGCACTCGTCAATAAAGTGGTGGGTGGCACTCGTCAATAAAGTGGTGGGTGGCACTCGTCAGTAAAGTGGTGGGTGGCACTCATCAACAAGGTGGTCATGGCACTCGTCAATAAAGTGGTGGGTGGCACGTCAATCAACTAAAGTGATGGGTGGCACTCGTCAATAAAGTGATGGGTGGTACTCGTTAACAATAATGGTGGGTGGCACTCGTCAATAAGGTAGTGGGTGGCACTCGTTACCCACCGGGGGCACTCGTCATCAAGGTGATGGGGTGGCACTCGTTATCAATGTGGTGGGTGGCACTCGTCAATAAAGTGGTGGGTGGCACTCGTCAATAAAGTGATGGGTGGCACTCGTCAATAAAGTGGTGGGTGCACTCGTTAACAATGTGGTGGTGGCACTCGTCAATAAGGTAGTGGGTGGCACCTGCTAACAATGTAGTGGGTGGCACTCGTCAATAAAGTGGTGGGTGGCACTCGTGCGCAATAAATGGTGGTGGCACTCGTCAATAAAGTGTGGGTGGCACTCATTAACAATATGATGGTGTGGCACTCGTCAATAAGGTAGTGGGTGGCACTCTGTTAACAATGTAGTGGGTGGCACGTCAATAAAGTGGTGGAACTGGCACTCGTTAACAATATGGTGGGGTGGCACTCGTTAACAATGTGGTGGGTGGCACTCGTCAATGCAGCTTTAGTGGTGGCATTTGGTCAACAAGCTGGTGGGTGGCAATCGTCAACAAGTGGTGGGTGGCACTCTGCTAACAATGTGGTGGTGGCACTCTCGTCAATAAGGTAGTGGGTAGCAGCCGTCAATAAGTGTGGTAGAAACTCTCTTAGTAAGATGGTGGTGGCACTCCGGCAGTAAAGTGGTGGGTGGCACTCGTCAGTAAAGTGGTGGGCGGTGTCAGTAAAGTGGTTTCTCATCAGTAAGTGGTGGGTGGCACTCGTCACTCGTCAGTAAAGTGGTGGGTGGCACTCGTCAGGTAAAGCGCGGTGGTGGCAATCTCGTCCAGTAAAGTGGTGGGTGGCACTCATCAGTAAAGCGGTGGGTGGCATCCAAGTAACAATCAACAAAAGGTGAATGGCACTCGTTAATAAAGTGGTGGGTGGCACTCATCAACAAGGTGGTGAATGGCACCAGTAAAAGTGGTGGGTGGCACTCGTCAGTAAAGTGGTGGGTGGCGTCAGTAAAGTGGTGGGTGGCAAAGTGGTGGGTGGCACTCGTCAGTAAAAGGGTGGCACTCACTCATCAAAAGTGGTGGGTGGCACTCTCAGCTAAAGGTATCACTCGTACAAGGTGATGAATGGCACTCGTTAATAAAGTGGTGGGTGGCACCAAAATCAGCGGTGGCTGAATGGCAGTAAAGTGGTCAGTAAAGTGGTGGGTGGCACTCGTAAAAAGTGGTGGGTGGCTGCTCCGTCAGTAAAGTGGTGGGTGGCATATTAATTAACTCATCAAAGAAGTGGTGAAGGTGGTGAATGGCACTCGTCAGTAATTAGCGTGGTAAAGTGGCACTCATCAGTAAAAATGGTGCGGTGGCACTCATCAATGGAGTGGTGAAATGGAGTGGCACTCGTCAGTAGATGGTGGGTGGCACTCATCAGTAAAGTGGTGGGTGGCACTCATCAGTAAAGTGGTGGGTGGCACTCGTCAGTGTAAGGTGGTGGGTAAAGTCGTCACTCGTCAGTGCACTCATCAGCAAGTGTGGGTGGCACCTGTCAGTAAGGTGGTGGTGGCACTCGTCAGTAAAGTGGTAGGTGGCACTCATCAGTAAAGTGGTGGGTGGCACTCATCAACAAGGTGGTGAATGGCACTCGTCAGTAAAGTGGTGGGTGGCACTCATCAGTAAAGTGGTGGTGGCACTCATCAGTAAAGTGGTGAATGGCACTCGGTGGTGGGTGGCACTCGTCGGTGGGTGGCACTCACTGCGCGGTGGCAAATGAGGTGGTGGGTGGCACTCATCAACAAGGTGGTGAATTCGCACTCGTTAACAAGCGGTGGTGGAGTGGCACTCATCAGTAAAGTGGTGGGTGGCACTCATCAACAAGGTGGTAGGTGGCACTCGTCGTGTGGTGGTGCTCATCAGTGAAGTGGTGGGTGGCACTCGTCAGTAAAGTGGTGGGCGGCACTCGTCAACAAGTGGTGGGTGGCACCAGCACTAAAGTGGGTGGGTGGCACTCATCAGTAGTAGCGTGGTGGGCGGTACCAGTAAAAGTGGTGCACTCGTCAGTAAGGTGGTGGGGTGGCACCCCATCAGTGGTGAATGGCACTCCGTCAGTGCGGTGGGTGGGCACTCATCAGTGCAAAGTGGTGGGTGGCACCGTCAGTAAAGTGGTGGGTGGCACTCTCGTCAGTAAGGTGGTGGGTGGCACTCATCAACAAGTGGTGAATGGCACTCGTCAGTAAAGTGGTGGGTGGCACCTACAGTAAAGTGGTGGTGGCACTCGTCAACAAGGTGGTGAATGGCACTCGTCAGTAAAGTGGTGGGTATCGTCAGTGCACTCATCAGCAAAGTGGTGGGTGGCACCTATCAGTGCGCATTGGCACTTGTCAGTAAGGTTAGTGGTGGGTGGCACTCGTCAGTAAGGTGGTGCAGTGGTGGGTGGCATTCTCCAGTAAGGTGGAGATTAAATTAAGCCATTTTACTTTTTTTTTAGATAACAGTATTTTAATTTAATTTGAGATTGAAGTAAAAGTATTCTTAATTTATTTTGAAAACAAAAATAACGATAGTTCGGTCTCGTAGAATTAAGCCTCCTTTCTCACGAACGTGTTTTTATTTATTTATTTTTTTTTTTTTGCTCGGCGTAAAAACACGCTTGTGTGAAGGGAGCCTAAAGGTGGCGGCACCATCGAGCCAGCATTCTTGGGTAGGGACGATTGTTGTTAACTCAGGTTAACTCTATGCATAAGTTACACAGGGACACTGTGTAATGTGTATACTTGGAGAGCCACGTAGTTCTTGAATTAGTAGTTCTTGATTGTGTTAGAACTTGACAATTTGTTTGGAGTTTTTCACAAACTCAGTAAGTTCCTTGTGATTGAAATGGATGGCCGAGCAAGACGCTTTCACACAGATTCGATGTCATAAAGATTACGTGAAATTAGGTGGGAGGTTCAGCAGAACGCTTCCGACAAATGAAAGACAAGTTGTATGAGGCAAGGAACCTTAATATTGATTAATTATCTGGTAGAAAATGGCAATATCGTACACTATTGTGACTAAGACCAGAAGAAACGGTTCAGCTCAAATTAAACAAAAATTATTAAAATGGATGCTTTGTCACTCGGGTGAAGTCACAAGTAATCAATAATAGCTTTCATGAAAATAATTTTTAGTGTAATCGGATGGTCATTACCATGTTATACAGAAAATTTTCACTTGATCTTTATACATAAAGGTACAACAAAGTCAAACGCAAAAGTACTCTTATCTCGAAATTCGACGTCAATTTCCAGTGTGGTGAGTCAGTTACGAGGGGCTGTGCTGTCCTCCTGGGCTGCCTGTAGCCATATGTAGGCCTGGTAGCTGGTACGGGTTACGTGAAGTCCCAGGGCATTTCTCGTTTGGGGCAACATTTCAAGACCCTTCTTCCCTTTGGCAAACAGATGAAGCTGAGCGTAATTGATAGGGGGACGGTTTGCAGTGCCATACAGATGACACACTAATTGTCCATCGTCTGCGGCGATCCATCACGGCCAACTCCAGTGACCAAGAATGGCTCCTTATGGAAGGTTTTCCAGCACGATTTTTTCTGTGACCTGTGAAAGATGACGTTATATCACATACAGTGAGACCATGGGAGCTGTGTAAGTTCTCCTTCAGATGCCGTGGAAGCCTCTCGGGTATGGTGTGCCTGAGATCATTCACACCTTCTCTGCCTTCGGCGTCAGGAAGTACACCAACAGTACCACTACAGTATATCTGTGTCTCTGCATATCACCATCACTTTTTAATAGCCTCGTGTCTCCCTCCCCATGACTTTATTATTATTATTATTATTATTATTATTATGAACTGGCCCTTTAACCGTTGATTTTTGCTGGGTTAATGGGGCTGGAACATGTAAAAGTATATAGGGTTTTAGAAGCAAAACCCAATTGTCTGTTCTCTATTTATTGAGAAACTATCTCATATACAGTTCCAAGTGTATATCACCGTAACTTAATCACTGTAGCTATGAGTGTTAAGGTGAGGACGGAGGCTATATTAAAGAGCTCTTCTAAATACGTCCGGTTGGTGTGAGGTGTACAGTGCCAATCCCCGTAATGGGGCGCCGGTGGTAGGGTGGTACCGCTCTTGCCTCGCAAGCGAAATGTCACGGGTTCGATTCCCGGGCCGGTGGAAAGTTGTTGGAGCTTCCAATAACTTGCTGACAAAAACCTATGATGCTTCAGGCTTCTACGCCCTTGACAAAAAAAAACTATGACCCTTCAGGCTTCTACTCCCTTAACTCATGAAACATAAAGGCAAGCATGAACTTAGCATGCTTCCCTGTTGGGCGCTGTAGGCACTTCTGCGCTTCACCTTGAACAGGATGTAGGGGGGTGCCCAATAAATAAAATAAAAAAATCCCCCTAATACCCGTCGAGGGAGAACGGTAATATAGGTCCTCCCTCGAGGGAAGATGGAACCATCCACGATGGCTCTCGACAACGTCTTCCTCTCGTCAAGGATATCAAGCTTCTGCAGCAAGAGGTGGCCAGAAAGCCGGCTACTTAATGCCTTAGCTCAGCACTAAGTGACGTGACTTCCCGTGGGCACATCTTATCACGTGGTCTGAACAAGCTACCTCATAGCTAGTGGAAAGTTACAGAGGGTGATAGAGTATATAAATCAAATGTAATTAACCCAGTTATATAAATACTTCTGCCTATAAGACAGGGGCTATTACAATTATTATTACCTTTACAGTTTTATGACCACATTTTACCAAGATGCAATAACAATTGCCAGTCCAATTGAGGTACATATATTCCGAACTCACTTTCTCTAACACTGGAATGATGTATGGCAGTGCGGGCGTGAGCTGTGGCGGCAACACACTCCAGTACACCCAAAACCAGGTCTCCAGCCTCGAGTCTGGGCGGAGACTTTCACTACCACTAGATTTTGTTTTTTATCTGGTATCACTTTGAAGAATCAGCTCCACTGGATAATTTACTGTCTGTAGTTGCACCAAAGGCATGAGCAAGCCTGCTGTGTAGTGTACGTTTGTGTTAGGTTGTCACCCTGATTGACAGATATCACACCATCTGTTCAAATTTCATGGTGGTTCGGTTATCATGCTCGTGGGAAGGCGAGGTGACGGATGGTTGGCATAAGCAATAGGTTGGTGACAGGGTATAAAAGAGCAGGAGGTGGGCTGAACAGGAAGTGTGAGCAGGATGGCTCGGCTAGTACCTCTACTTCTGGGTGCAGCCCTCCTCTCCCCGGGCCTGGGGAAGATCATCCAGCGTCGGGAGTGTGGAGAAACTGAGGGCGACATATACCAGTTCTCCTTCAAGACGCTAGTAAATAGAACTGAAATCAGCTTCGAGGAGTACAGAAATAAGGTAGGTATTGTAGCTGTGGTGCTGCAAGTCTCCGTTAACACTGGCTTCAGCCAGATCTATGTGGCTTTCTGTAGTCAGGATGACTACACCCACTCTAGAGAATTAACGGAGGGAAACTGATTGTAAATCTCAGTGTGTTAACATGAGTAACATCGCTTCATATGTCGAAAGTTAAAGGACACATAACATGCTCACATTCAAAGCTGAAGGCAAAAATCCTTCGAAAATTTCAGTTTATGTCAAGCTACAGTTTCCATTATTCTCCTTTCCCTTGCAATTTTAATGACTGCCAAGGCAGCAACTTCTCAACATAATATCTGATATTACATTTTGATTCATATATTTGTATCTAGTGTAACATATTTCTATGTTAGCTAACTCTCCTACTTATATCTATGTTATTGTTATATCACGTGTATTTCACTAGCATGCGCTAATGTTTGCTTCAGATTAATAAACTACGTTTTCTAAATGAAATCGAAAAGAGTGGCTATCCCGTGCCGGTGCGATGAAACCCATCCAATTGATTCAAAGTTCATTAAACGAGTCGGAATGTCTCGTATCTTTCCCTGAGATTAAAGCTACTTGAAGCTTATAGACAATTAAAATTCCGTGTTGATCTATATAAAAATTACCTTGCCCGCTTGCATGGGAGACCCGAGCGTTGACAGCCAATAAAACTATGTACTCAACTCACACCTGGAGACTCACCTCAACATCTCCAGTGCTTCTTACGTTACTTGGCTCTACTCTCCGCGCTACACGACAATTTTTACTGCTAAGTACTATACCATCTTTGCTTCTTTTTAGATCAGGTAACGTTATCTCAGCCATTGTTCTATAGACCAGGTATTGTCTTACCTCTCATGTTCCTACGTAACTAAGGGTGAAAATACTTTGCCCTGTGCGCTTGTGATTGTTCGTGTGACGAACGGCTCCCGACTAGTCATATTTATGTTGTTTGTGTAGCCTCTACTCTGAGCTAGTTTACTGTCATATGTTATTATGCTTCATGTTAACTATCTGTGTAACTTTCTTTTTTGAATTAGCCGTGTATGTTGTTCTCTTAGAGTGAAGGATAATTTGGTATGAGTTAATTATAGTTACTGTTCTTACTTATTCGTTTATTTCACTATTTCTACACCTGCCGTAAGTATTAACAATTTGGAATAATAGTTTACTTGTATAGGTTATATAGAGACGTAGAGCTGACCGACCATCTGACCATCTCTCCCCACAGTTAAAACTAAACAGGTAATAATCTAAGGTTCCTTGGTCAATGACCATTTTAAAATATAACACTAGGCTTGCTTTTTTTCTCTACCCGCGCACGTCATTAGAAAAATAAAAATAAACTCTTCATTTTGTACTGTGCACCTTGTTGACTCTCCTCTCCCCTTTGACAGGTGGTGATGGTGGTCAATGTGGCCACCTACTGAGGCTTCACCAGCCCCAATTACAAACAAATGAATGCACTGGCGGAGTACTACGCCGACGCCGACTTTGAGATCCTGGCTTTTCCCAGCAACCAGTTTGAGTTGGTAAGTCTGGATGCTGTTAATGAACATAAGTATTAAGCTGAGATCAAGTATATAACATATACATAGATTAGGTATACGACACGCTCATTGGTGAAGGATACAGCTTGTGATTTTGAGTGAGACAATATAACACAACGGACGAAGGATTTTGATAACACTACTGAGAGACAACACGAGTCGCGGTGTTTTGAAATTCATAGGAACTCCGTATAGAAATTTTTTATACAATATATATATATATATATATATATATATATATATATATATATATATATATATATATATATATATATATATATATATATCATCTGTAGGTGAAGTACTGTATACATAAGGACATAAGAATGGAGAAAACTGCAGTGGGCCTATTGGCCCCTACTGGGCAGTCCCGTTTACACCCAACCACTATCGCTCATATATCCACCCAACCTATATTTGAAACTACCCAGCGTATTCGAGTTAACGATGATGTTTGGTAACTTGTTACACTAATCCAATTCTCTTTTTCCAAACCTAAATCTATATTTGTCTAATTTAAAACAATTGCTGCAAGTTTGCTCCTGTTTGGATAGTTTGAGTACCTTTGTTATATCACCTTTGTTTAACCCTGACTTCCATTTATACACCTTGATCATTTCGCCTCTCACTCTACGTCTCACGAGGGATTGCAAATTTAGATGTTTTAACTTGTCTTTGTACTCAAGGTTCCTAATGCCCGGGATTAGTCCTGTCATTCTCCTCTGAATTCTTTCTAAGGATTCTATATATATCCATTCTGTAGTACGGTGACCAGAACTAAACCACGTAATCCAAGTGAAGTCTCACAAGCGCAAGATATAGTTTTAGGATGACCTCATTAGTCTTGTAATTAATACTCCTTTGTATGAACCCAAGTACTTTGTCAGCCTTTTTTTAAGCAAATACACATTGTTGTCTTGGTTTAAGATTTCTACTCATCATTATTCCTAAATCTTTCTCACAGTCGGATATCCCTATTACAACGTTGTTCATCTGATATCTGGTTTCTCTATTTACATCTCCTAGACTAAGTACTTTACATTTGTCCACATTAAATTTCATCTGCCATTTTTCAAACCATGCGAAATTTTGTTTAGATCTTCCTGTAGTTTTGCGGAGTCTTCGTCAGATTTAATTACATGCCCTATTTTAGTGTCGCCAGCAAATTTACCTATGTTGCTGTCTATGCCTATATTTATGTCGTTTTTGTATATAATACATAGTAATGGTCCAAGTACTGAGCATTGGGGTACCCCTCTAGTGACGTTACCCCAATCGGATTTAGTGCCATTAATGCTCACTCGCTGTTTCCTGTCCTGTAACCACGCCCTAATCTATTTTAAAATATCTCCTCCAATTCATTGAACCTCCACTTTTCTTATTAGTCTTTCATGGGAGACTCTGTCGAAGGCTTTGCTTAAGTCGAGGTATACCACATCATAATAGTGTCCGTCATCCACTGATTCAAAACAATTGAAAAGAATGTTAAAAGATTTGTCAGACATGAACGCCCACTTGTGAAGCCATGTTGGGAATCATTGATCAACTTGTGCTTCTCCAGGTGATTTCGAATAGAGTTTGAAATTATCGCTTCCAGCAATATGCCTACAATTGATGTTAAACTGATTGGACGGTAGTTTGAGGATTGGACGGTAGTTTGAGGATAGTGATCTATCTCCCTTCTTGAAAGTCAGCATCACATTCGCTATCCTCCAGGATTCTGGTACTACAAAAAAGTTTTAATGACATGTTCAACAGGTTTGCTTAGGGCATACTAAGCTCTTCCTTACATTCCTTTAATACTCTGGCAAGTATCTCATCGCGACCAAGTGACTTATTAGGCTTTAGTTTGTCGGTTTGTTATTAAAATCGTAACTAGTCACTACTATCTCGCTTAATCTATTTCTTCATTACCTCTGGATATAGTTGGTGCCTCGGGTATCATGTTTAAATTCTCGGTGGAGAAAACTGTTGAAGAATATTTGTTCAGATTTTTACTCATATCTCCGTCGTTATCAGTTAGCTCGCCGTTATCTGACTGCATTGGTCCAATCTTGTCTCGTGTTTTAGTTTGATACATTTGGAAGAATCCTTTGGGATTTGACTTCGCCTCCCTTGCTACCTTCAGTTCATTATTTCGCATTACTTTTCTTATCTCTGTCTTAACCCTATTGGACAATACTCTCAGGGGTAAACTTCACCACGATTTATTTTCCTAGCTATAGCCTTCCTTTATTCAATAATATTCTTTAAGTAATCATTTATCCATTTGGGGCATTGTTATTTGATATGAATTTTCTGTCTGGTATGTTCTGCCTTTGTGCATTAAGTAACTCATTATTTAAATTGTTGTAGAACTCGTCAACCTCAGATCTCGTGATCAGGTCATCCTCACCCATTATATTTTGTGAGATTATCGTTGCTCATTAACTCTATCGAGAGTAGGAGGTCTACATATTACTCTTATGAATAAATTTCCCCTATCATCGGTCAGTTCTGTCCAATTGTTTCTGTATTCAGTTCAGTTAATATTTCCTTATTGAATTCACACTTCAGGTTATCCGACATAAATTGCTATCCCGCCTCCTTTCTTAATTTGCCTATAGGTATGGATTAATTTGTACTACATATACAGGTGAAGTGTACAATATATATACAGGTGGAGTATACAATATATACAGGTGGAGTATATATACACATGTGTAGTATACAACATATACTTGATGTTCCATAAATACCTGTCATAAATCAGGGGGTGTATTCCCGAGACGTAAATAAAGATGAATTACTAAAAATGACCAAATCGTCAGTTCTCAATAGTTTCGTAGTTACAGCACAAGACAGGTTTGGTAGGAATATGATGACACAGTATATGGGGTGAAGGCACTCGGCGGTTCAGATAACGTTCCACCAGCTGCACCCAGTGTCAGGTGCATATTTGCTTATTCACCAAATGAATATTCCTCCATGTCCACTTGCGTGTGCTCGCCCAACCCTGGTTTATACAGACATCCTGCTGTCGACCACATCAGCTTGGTATGTTCCTCTTCCCGCCTCCCTCCCTACCCACTAAAACACCCACCGATGCCCTTACTCATTACGTCATTTGGACATGTAGCACATAATAACATTACAGTATCAAAACTGCACACGTAGTTAACATCATGCTATCATTTTCACTGTGAACATTACTACGTTGTGTTGGATATGAATGTGTTTCATTCTGTCCAGTGGATGTTTCATTTACACCTCTTATACAGTAGGTGTCATCACATGTGCTGTAACTCTGAAACTATTGAGAACTGACAATTTGGTCATTTAGTAATTCATCTTTATTTACGTCTCAGGAATACACCCCCTGATTTACGACAGGTAGTTACAGAACTCCCTGTATACAGATGAAGTATACCACAAGTATACAGGTGAAGTTTACCACAAATATTGTTACGAGTTGGGGATTTTGAATATAGTTAAAAGTCTACCCAGATCCCAACAGGCAACAAAAAAAAAACAAAGACAATCGGACTATAAAAGGGTAGACAAAGGATGAGAGTTTTTGTTGTGTATAATAAAGTACCATAAATTCCTTAACAAAATATTCAGCTATCTACAATTTACCCTTAACCATACTTAACCTAAACATTAACAGTATATACATATTTATACAACATACAATAATTTGAAGCAAGTGGACGTGGGGGAGGCAATATAAGATTACAAATACTTAAGTGCGGAGCTGAGATGGCTGACGAGCAAGGCTGAGTATTGTAGAAGACGGTAGGTAGTCACTGTGCCGTAGGTTTCCAGCATAGGTGATCCTGTGGTCACTTCCCAGAGTGAAGTCCTCTCTCCTCGAATTGGAGCTGACAAAGAAGACTTTGAGGAGGTGACGCAACAACCAGGATATGGAGAAGGGAAACCCGGGAGTGGTAACTAAGACGAGTCATACTCGTGTTTCGTCCCTAGATGGCGTTGCTCGTGGTGCTGGGTAGGTAGATGAAGACAATAGATGTGGTTCGTAACAATATATATATATGTGTATATATATATATATATATATATATATATATATATATATATATATATATATATATATATATATATATATATATATATATATATATATATATATATAGTTATAATTCACATCTTCAGGGTGAGTACAGAGTCTACTCACCCTGAGCACCTACAGTGATTTACTTGCATATATATATATATATATATATATATATATATATATATATATATATATATATATATATATATATATATATATATATATATATATATATATATATATATATATATATATTTCATGTTAGGAATAATAATCACCCCATTGCTTGGGAAAAAAGCTTAGAAGTATTCAAATCATCTTGTGTCACAGAAAGACTTCTTGTTGAAGCTAGTTTGATTAAGGAATTAAAATCAATAAACCTTAGTGATGGTCAGTTCAAAACTGATAATATGTTACATAAATTTATTTGTCAGTGGCCCAAGGTTAAAAATGCTTTGAAAACCATTGATCTAGATGTATGATAGTTATTTTGTGGGCCCCCTTTTTTCTGACCTGACTTGTCTAGTCACGTCACCTCCCTTCTCTTAAGCTCCTCTACGTGTGTGTTGGTGTGGGGATTAGTGGATGTCATCATTTTGACCTGACCTCATGTTTTTAGGTCACCCTGTATATTTAAGCCTCTCTCTGTCCATGTAATCCAGTTGCCTCTTTCTAGAACCTTCACTGCTAAAGCCTGCCAGCCTGTTTTTCAACCGTTGACGACCTGAACGAAATTGACCACCCCTCCACCATCACTACACTCAACCGGTAAGCTCGTTGCAGACAACGCCCTTTCTGTGCTTCCCTACTGATCAGGGGTGACTCCTGATCAGAGGCGGCCCTGATCGGGTGATCTGTAACGGCTTTCTGGCCTGGGGACCTGCACCCTAGAGGTGTATTCGTCCTTGGGTCCCCCCTGTAACTGTTCACCTCCACTGTAGGGGTTTGTGAATACGAAAGGGGGTAGGAGCAGAACCCACCCCTCCGCCGAGCCTTCCTGGGAAACCGTGATCGTGCGTGTTCCACCTAGGAAGGGGGTCGCAAATCCTTAATCCTCCACCCCACCCCCGAATAGGTACACATCAAGTTCACGCCTATAAGTGAGCAATTTTAACAATAGGGATATAGGTTCCCCTAACGGGGTTACTAGGTGAGTGACACAGGAACCACCCTACGACCATTCGACCAGCAAGTGGCGGTGGGGGGTGCTGTAATTCCTGTGTTTAGGTTGCTCGCCTGGAATAGGTAGGGTGACTGAAAAAATCATATCAACACTGACGACACGGAGAACGACCAAATGTAATGCCTAGGACAACTCAGAATAACTTAGCTTAGCTTGGCTGAGACCGGCCTTCCCTAACCCCATGAACCTCTAATGCAGCACAGTTACGGAAGACAAAAAAACCCGTCTCCGCAAGGTGGATAGCCCACCTGCTGTTAACCTTCTCCTTTACTTCCCACTTCTGAACTTTACCTTGTACTTTTATCCTTCTCCCACTCCCAGAGCTACTACTCTCTTCTCTCCGTACAACCAACCAACCGTTGTTTCCATCTTCCCGTGTGATTTTATCAAGATATATATATATATATATATATATATATATATATATATATATATATATATATATATATATATATATATATATATATATATATATATACAATTGAAGTATACAAAATATATAGAAATGGAGTATACAACAAATGGGTGGAGTACACATTAATCTTCCCTCAGTCGAACGTTATCATTTCAAAAAAGTTTTGTTTTATTCCAATTTTCTAATTCCCCTTTCAGAGGACTGTGTAACTTGGTCATCGAGTTTTTCTTAAAATTTTCTCCATTTCTATCGTCTCTTGGTGACCAGCAAGAGCCGGGGGTCACAGGTGAGGAGATCATGAACGGGATCCGACACGTCCGCCCAGGAGGAGGTTTCGAGCCATTGTTTACCATATTCCAGAAGACGGGGGTGAACGGCGCCAAAGAAAACGGGCTCTATACATTCCTGAAGGTGAGTTGCCTTCAAGTTGAGAAAAGGTTTGGTTGATAAGTAAGTACCTGTTATCTGCAACTAAGAGTAAAATACGTGTAACTTAAGTCCCATGTGGTCGATTTTTTTCCATTGATGAGATTATCTTTATCATTTGGTTTCACTCAGGGTGCCTGTGACTACACCTTCACGGAGTTCTGGCCGGGATTGTTTTATGATCCTATCAAGGTTGGGGACCTTCAGTGGAACTTCGAGAAGATCCTGATAGGTAAGGATGGCAAGCCTTACACACGATACCACCCCTCAGTTATCCTCGCTAACAGCTTCAAGGATGACATCGACTACCTTCTGAACATGTAAGTCACTAATAGGGAAGTTACGGTGTGTGTAAGGACGTTCACTTCATATCAATGGAATCCCCAGCTGAGGCTCGGCGTCCTACCCCCACCTACCCTCAAGTAGTGCCCCATTCATGACGACGCTGCCAGAAACCCTCAGGTGGGCGGTGTCTGAAGTAGTCAGGGGAGCGAGGCCTCTTGTGCATTCTGGCTTCGACTCCCCTGCCTGTGGGCTGCTGCAGAGGGTGGGCGAAGCTGGACCACGCCAAGCTGGGGGCCACACCCACAAACGAAATGTATTAAAAAAAATTGATAGCATTAAAACGATCAGTGACGATCAATGTTTGTTTTATTTCACTTGTCGTTTACATATGGTGGTATTGAAGAATGCGTAAGAGATACTTAAAATAAATGCAGACCAAAATTCCACAAGGAATTTAAAACTAAATTTACATAACGTCGAAAAATTAAAATGTTTATCTAAACTTTTAATATTCGTGAACAGCTGATCTGAATACAACAAGGAGACAAACAGCTGTTGTATAACAAAATCTATCTCAATAAAATATCAAAAATTAAGAGAAAAAATGCCATACCCCACCATCTAAAAAAAATCTAAATATAAAAAAATTAACATTAATTATTTTTGTGCAATAGTTACCAATCCTGTATCAAGCTACTGCCTAGAACAGAGTATGGAACAAACTGCTTCACTTTACCACTGACTTGAGAAGTTAAGAACTCACTTCTCCAAGGATTTCATCTTCAAAAAACGAGTTTGATTTTTTGCAGTGACGTGAGATTCAACCAACCATGTATGCGTCAGTGTCACCCGAGGCTATTCAATGTTTGTTCTAAGCCATTGTGTCTGGTAGAGCATCCCCCCCCCCCCACACACACACAGACACACACACACACATTTTCAATAGACAGAACAAAGAATAAAATGAAAAATCTAAAGTGGTTTACCTCGACTGGTGAACCTGTGTAGGTGTACCTCCACGGTGTAAATGTGTAGGTGTTCTTCCATGGTGTACATGTGTAGGCATACCTCCATGGTGTACATGTGTGGGTGTACCTCCATGTGTACATATGTTGGTGTACATGTGTGGGTGTACCTCCATGTGTACATATGCTGGTGTACACGTGTGGGTATAACACAGTGGTGTACCTATGTACCTGTGGTGTACATATGTTGGCGTACACGTGTGGGTGTAAGTCAGTGGTGTACATGTGAGGGTGTACCTCTGTGACGTACATATGTTGGTGTACATGTGCATGTGTGGGTGTAACTCAGTGGTGTACATGTGTGGGTGTATCCCAGTGATGTACTGTACATGTGTGGGTGTGCCTTAATGGTGCACATGTGCAGGTGTACTTCTATGGTGTACATATGTTGGTGTGCATGTGCATGTGTGGGTGTAACTCAGTAGTGTACATGTGTGGGTATACTATTATAATGTGTACGTAAGTGGGTGTAGCTCTTCCCTTGTATGCATGTGTGATTGTACTTATATGACGTACATGCATGGCTGTATCTCCCTGGTGTACACAGGTAGCACTGCCTTCCCTGTGTTTACATAGCTCTGTTTACCCTCGTAATCTTCCAGTCATCCAATGTTGATTCACAGAGGTAACAACACCTTGCTCCATCACCGATGTTTACACAGCGTGCCAAGACGCTGATCCCGAAGGCCACACTCCAGGTGTATAAAGTCACCCGACGAAGGGCGTCTATCTAACAGTAGTGTGCCTTTGCTGGTACCGTCATGGACCGCCGAGTGATGCCGCTGTTACTCCTGGGGGCGACATCCCTGGTCGTTAACCCGGTGGTGGGGAAAATCTTCGCCGCTCGACGGTGTGGGGACGTCGAGGGGGACCTGTACCAGTTCTCAGCAAAGACTCTCAACGGCTCGGAGGTCATCAACTTCGACCGATACAGGGGCAAGGTAAGTGTGTGTGTGTGAAGGAGTGGTTCACGGTGGTTCCTGATTGTCCTAGGTGCTTTATCGTAGTTCCTGGCGGTAATAATAACTGTCCATGATGGTTCCTCGTAGAGATGAAGGGCTCACGGGTAATGTTGCAGACGATTTACATCCAGGCATAAACAAACTTGCCCATATTTCCCTCTGCCCGGGGCTCAAACCCGGGTCCACTCGCTTGCGAGGCAAGCATGCTGACCATTACACCAGAGAATTATCACCGACGTCACAGGTCAGGTGTGTGTGTGTGTGTGTGGTTGCCAGAAATCGGAAAACAAATGTTTGTCAGAAATAAAACAGCCCCCCCCCTCTCTTTCTCAATCCAATTAAAACATTTTTCGTGTGTATTTTACACGCAACCTGGCTTTTAAGTTAATGTTTTCCAAGTATGTTTCAGGCATTTTGTTCTGCTAAGGATATCCATGTTTGAGTATAATCCAAAATATGAGATGAACTAACGTTTGCCTGTTTGAGTGTCTGTCTGTCTGTCTGTCTGTCTCCTTAACAGCATATCTCGGACATAAACAACTTCTTTTCCTAACTTTCTCCTTTTCACGTATTCCTAGATCGTCTAAACTCTGTCTGTCTGTCTGGTCTAATATATACAGTACAGTATGTGTCTATCTACACCTGGTCTAACTTGTGTCTGTGTTCCGTTAACAGTATTTTCAGACATAAACAACTCACACTTCTTACGACCATTAAATAATCCTTCTCCTTAAATATGGTTTAACGTGTGTCTGCCTGTCTCCTGATCTAACGTCTGCCTGCCTGCCTGTCTCTGATCTAATGTATATCTGCTCGTCTGTGTCTGTATCACTACGCTAACGAGTGCCCCTTCCCACCACGCAGGTGGTGCTGGTAATCAACGTGGCCACCTACTGAGGGCTCACCACCGCCTCCTACCACCAGATGAATGCACTGGCTGAGTTTTACGAAAATCAGGACCTCGTTTTTCTTGGTTTCCCCTGTAACCAATTCGGTAAGGTAAGTAAAAGAAGGGAAAATCATAAAGTATAAGTTTACCATACTGCCTTAATGCGGACGAGAGTAAAGTGTTTGTGATGGTAGTGTCACTATAGAAATAAGCCAACAATACCCGCGGCGAGAGGCAGGGGGGTCTTAGTTAGTTCTTATAAACATCTAATCACAAGGTCGTGTTCACTTTCCGTTTCAGACTTCATTCCAGCACAAAAAGAAGAATTGCCTTCATTTATTGGGTTTGACGGTTTTTATTTAGTGTATCGACCTTCTTTGAATATATGATCAATGATCTTTGTTTCTGAAGCTTTAGAAATATACAACAACAACAGTCCAGAGAAACTTTTAAAATTGGGTTGTTAAGTACTGAGACTAGCTAGAGCGACGAGAAAAACACTGGAAATTTATAGGCATTAGGTACTTTGGGATGAGGGGATAATGACAGCGATAAAAGTGAGTAAAATTAGAGATTTGAAGGACCATAGAAGGAAAGGATATTAACCCTGAGTGTGCAATGACTTAATCCTTTGAGTACGAAGATTTAATTTCTTGAGTATGATGATTTATAGGGTTAGCATGGTACTCAAGGGATTAAAAGAAATATTACTCAATAGACCAACTCATTGTACTCAGTGAAGACATAGTACTCAAGAGGTTAGAGGCTGGTCCAAGGAGACATACATAATCTGGAAGGATCAGTAAAGAGAATACTATTACGTTTAAACACACCTTGAGTAATAGAGTATCAAGTTATGGCATGTTTTATCTATTTTTCATTACTATTGCTGTTCTACTACCATGTATACTGTATATACACGTCATATGGCTGGGCATATCTCCGGCATGTTGTCATTTAGTTTTTTCTTTAATTTATGTTTATATTCTATCTATCCCTCCCGCTTCTCCCCTCCACCTCCCATCCCTTCTTCCTCCCCTATCTTTCTTTCCCTTTCCACCACAGCAAGAGCCGGGAGCCAACGCCACGGAGATCTACAACGGGATCCGCCACGTCCGGCCCGGAGGAGGGTTCGAGACGAAGATAACCCTCTTCGAGAAAACTGACGTGAACGGCCAACATGAGAACGAGATCTTTACGTTCTTAAAGGTGAGACCTTGAGACACGGGGGCACAGAGTGTAAGATTAGTAAATATTCTGTTTTTGTAGAATTTGCTGCAAATTCGTAACAAAACTACATTATTCATATTAAAAGAGAAGAGTATAGCCTGGAATAGTAATTTACGTATGCACATTGGTGGTAAGACTGCTTGTCCCGTGGTAACACGTAGTACGTGAAAATAAGAGACCCTACTCCGTAGCAGTTAATACTGTTACTTTGCTGTCACTCGGAAACGAGTATGACGATCATCCAGCTATAATACAATCATATAAGATTAAGAACGTCACCTTCGTTGGTGAGCTCTGAGGTGACTCGAGAGGCAGGGCGGTCCACAGATGTTGCACGTGTGGAGGGCTACATCTAGTGCGGGAGGGGGGGGCGGTAGCGTCTTTCCGGTGCTGGCGCTTGTTTGCCTCGGTATGCAATCAGGCTAACTCGAAAATATTGACATTCTCGTGTGGTGCTCCTCCAAGCATTACGGACTGGAGTTTTCGTTTCCCAAGAGGGGGGTCGATATGACACTTTTTCAGGTTTGTCTTAAGACTATTTTTATACATTTTCCATTGTCCGCCAGCAGTACGTTTACCATTAGTTAGGTAACTGCAGAGTAGCTGCTTTGGCAGTTTACTGTCGTCCATGTGGGTAACGTGACCAGTCCAAGTAGTTGTTCATGGATAATGGTAGCCTCGATGCTCCTATAGTTGGTGTCAGCGAGAATACTGGCATTTGTTCTCTCTTCCCAGCGAACTCGGAGGATGGAACGTAGACAACGTTGGTGAATGTTTTCAAGTGCCTCCTGTATGTGACCCATATCTCGCTGCCATACAGCATGGTGGACAGGACCATTGCTCGATACACGTGCAACTTTGTAGATATTTCAGCTTCCTACAGCTGAAGACACGGGTACGGAGTCTGCCAAAGTCTTGAGATGCACATCTAATCCGATGTTGAATCTCTTCATCGATGTTTGCAGTGGTCGACAGGTGGGAGCCAAGAAAATGAAAGTGGGTAACATTAGAGAGGGTAGTACCGTTAAGCTGGATGGATGGTGGAGGTGTGATTGAACCAGGGGCAGGCTGAAAGAGAATCCGAGTCTTATGTGCATTCACCTCAAGGCCAAAGTGTGCATACACATCTGCATAGGTGTTCAGGATCTTCTGTAGGTCGCATTCAGTGTGAGCAACGAGGGTAAGGTCGTCTGCATACTGAAGTTCAGTAATGGAAGCAGCTGACACCTTGTTCCTGTCTGAATCCTCTTATGCTGAAGAGTCCCTTCATTTGGTACTGGATGTCCACCCCGACAGCTAAATTGGCACTGGCACGGGTAAGGAAGGCAGCCAAGGAAATAGAAAAGAGAGTTGGTACCAGTACACATCCTTGTTTTACCCCTGTTTGGATGGGGAAGAACTCAGACTGGGTGCCATTGTGTAGGACACTTCCGTTCATGCCTCACAATAGCAATGAATTTTGTTGGGTAGCCAAAACGACTAAGGGTCTGCCATATACAAGTCACGACACTGTTCTCTTCAGTTTTCCTGTATCTAGCGGGCAGCAAAGATAATGTCAGTGGTACCACTTGATGGTCGAAAGCTACATTGAGATCCTGGAAAGAAGTTTTCCGCCTCAGGAAGAAGTCTGTTTAGAAGGACTCCGGCGATAATCTTGCCAGCTACCGGAACGAATTATATTAGATTTCCGTTCAGTTAAAAAATAAATTAATGGAGTAATCTGTGCACTGCGAATATTCTGGATAAAATTGCACCTAACCGGTCATGGCGATCTGATATCGTCGACGCCTGCCTCCTTACATGTTATAATCCAAGACCATCTAAACCATCATAAATGTAATGGCCAAAACATTACCCCGACTCTATTATCCGTGCATAATGGCACCCTAATAAACACAGTCAGATTTTATAGCCTAAAAAATCTCTATGATATAAAAAGTAAAAAACGTGTTTCTTAGCTTGAGATGTTCATCATGGAGATTCCTTGGACGTGTTGGGATCTATAGTAGATTACATCATGAGGATTGTCAGTCTTGGTATCCAAATATTAACTAAACTATGTTGTACTTATTAGTTGCTAGAAGATATCAAAACATCTAGTGGATTGTAAATGTCCTCTCCAGAGGTTAGACTGCGTCCACTACCTTTGTGCTTGTTGTTGGTACACTTTTCCTGGCCCAGCGTCTGACCGGCGTCCCTCTAGACGCGTGAAATGGCGGGAAAGTTATATCTAATTTTAATTATCTCCTAAACTATAAATTATAATTGTCCTAATTCAATAAACTTATCATTAAATAACGTAGTGAATTTGTCATTACACATGGTAGTCATAGAAGGTTTAGTTTAGAACCTCTGGTGATACAAATTTCCACTTCCCGCCGAAGTTTGTTTATATCCTACTCATTTCGTAGCTAATTTATTTGATTTGCTCAATGAAATAACTAAGCTATCAAGATTATATACTACTTAATATTTTAATACTTAACATATAAAATTATTTACAATCATATGTACAGTCCCCTTCACTAGTGCGTTTACAGGGGCTCGTCAGGTTTTGTGCAGTGTGGCAGCCCTGTGTTTGTTTACATTCAACAAAAGGAAACTGGTAATAGTAATCATATTATGGAATCGAATTAAAACAATATTAAAACAAATATCTCAAAGATAATGATTTGTAGAATGCTTACATTATGAGCCCCTGTAAACGCACACAGTACATACGACGACATACTTTTCGCGACAAGTACAATTATATTTTATCAAACAAATATTTTCACTTTCGAATACAGAGTAATAATTCTCCTGAAAGGTAAGATAAACGCAAGGGGGGTATTTCCTTTCAAAGTGAGGTTAATGAACTAACTGTACTTTTTCCAAAAGAAAATATTGCAACATGTCTAACACATCAGACACAATACTCCATTAGGGTCTGGTAACATAACTCTGAAGGCCATCTGCGGTTTCTTAGTATTTGAATGATGTAATATGCTTTAAATGTTCAAAAGATATACATTTTTTTTTAAATGCTGACATTGCTGGACGGAGAAGGGGGGGGGCAGGGAAGGGTGGAGGGAGGCAGAGAAGGAGGGATGGAAGGAGGCAGGAAAGATGGGAGGAGGTGTGTGTGTACCCTGCATCTCTCCACCTTAATGATAATATCACCAAATGAGTATTACTGAGCGTGTAATTGAGTTGAAACCCTGTATCTTAACTGCTGTTTCTAAGTAAACTTACATAATTTTCATCTGATTTCACTTGCAGAGTGCCTGTACCTACACAGACACGGATTTCGAGACTCGTCTGTACTACGAGCCTAAGAGAGTTGGGGACATTCACTGGAACTTCGAGAAGTTCCTCGTGGGGAGAGACGGCAAGCCTAGAGTTCGCTACCACCCGGAAGTTACCGACCCCGAGGCCCTCAAAGGTGACATTGGTACTTTGCTCTACGAATATCCTCCTTCAGGAACTTTGGGCAACGTACACCAGCAGAGGGGCATGTATTAATCAATGATGTTGAGGAGGACATCCGTATTTTATCCCCTGACTCCCAGCTGAGGCTCGGCGTCCTACCCTCGCCCACCCTCATGTAGCACCCCACCCATGACGACGCTGCCAGAAACCCTCAGGTGGGCGGCGTTTGAAGTAGTCAAGGGAGCGAGGCCTCTTGTGCATTCTGGCCTCTACTCTTCTGCCTGTGGGCTGTTGCAGAGGGTGGGCGGAGCTGGACCACGCTAATCTGGAGACCATGGCAGGAACTCTGAACTGTAGAACCTCCACTAATAGAAGAAACCATAAACACCATCTTTGTTTCTAATGTCCTGATAATGGGGTTTACGTCAAAGAGATTCTCTCAACAAAGTGAGAGAAAGAAAGAGAGAAAGGTAGAGATATGGAGTCACTGTGGGAGAAGGAAAAAAGGTAATAGAAACAGAGGAGAAATTAGAAAATATACAGAAAGAAAGAGAGAGAGAGAGAGAGAGAGAGAGAGACCAATGAGAATGAAATAATCTAACAAAGTACAACGTTTTACAATACAAAATCAGCAACAGATCTAGAAAGAGAGCACAATTATAGTTTTATTTCCCAGTAAATTTGTAAGATTTTTTTTTAGGTTAGGTTACGTGAATAAACGTGTATAAATAGGTCTCGCTTTACACAATGTTGATTTTGCCAATACACAACAATGCGTATTAACATATGTTCTTTTAATGATTTGCCTGGGTATTGTATAGAATCTACCAGAGAATTAGGCCTATTAGCTTTGGACTGGGAGATGCCCGGTCGACAAAGCAATAACAGTCCCGAGAGACAGACAAGTGAACAACAGGTAACGTGGAGAAGTACCCCACCCCCAAGACTTTCAAGGGTAAATGTCTAAAAAAAACATTTGAGTTAAGTACTTCTTGTAAAAAGAGAACTTATCACTATTTCTGGGCATCACCAATTCTCCATATATAACGGGGTAAGAAATAGGGCATGTCAATTGTAAAGTTAATTCATTTTACAACTACGGTTATTCTTAAATATCTAAACACATTTGTGTACAAAAAATCAAACAGTTGACACTTATCTGATTCCTCCCCACGTTTAATGCAAGTCACTGCACATGTCACTCACAAGTTAAGTCAGGAGGGAAATATACACACAAATATATATTTCAGAATCAAAAACAATAAATAATTTCATTCCAGAATAAGAACAAGTCTCTAAATACACCAATAAATCGCCAAGTTATACCAAGTAAAACTAATATCTGCGCAGCACTTTTCAAACTATGTAAGACAAGAGAGATACTCAAGTGAATTAGTAGAAGCAGCTGAAGAGTGTACACTGTACAGTATATCCTTGGGTCAATTGCACGACCCTGCCTGGGGTTTGGATCAGAACTGACCTCCTTTCACTGCCCTCTGAGTATTTGAGGACCATGGGTGTGGGAGGAGTTTGGGATTTAAGCGGGAATACCTTAACTAGGTTAATCACCGTGCAAGTATTTAAGCCCTTTCATTTATATTAATTTTTTTCCATAATAATTCACAATGTCTTGACTATCGCCTTTCTATTGTTAAATTATTATTTTTTTCTATTTATCACTTTTTAGCTTTCACTGTAGAGGTAAATGAACGTGGTGTTACCGGTGGTCAAACAGGTACAACAACCATCAGCTGCTGTGAAGAGAGTGCATGTTGTCGGGGGTGGTGTTAGTGTCGAGCAGGCACGGCAGTGGGAATTATAGGGTAATAATAATAGATGGAGAGAGGAGTCCATCTGTTTACTTATCGGCCATGTGCCTCTCTACAAACAATAACAAAAGAACATCACGTAACAGGTTCTGTCAGTACCCTTACTCATTTTGTCCTTTTTAATTATTTAGTGTATAGTCTGGAGAACATGTAGCGAAGGCATTTGACAAAGTCTGGCACGACGGTCTAAAATATAAGATCCTCCAACTCAGACTTCCCACCAACATTGAAAAGCTGCTTTGCAACTTTCTTGACGGCAGAAATGCCAGACTGAGGGTAGGACAACACACAGGAAAGACCTTCCCACTAATGAGTGGAGTCCCTCAGGGGAGCGTCCTCTCCCCCACCCTATATATTATCTACACAAGTGACTCCCCGCCTCCCACTAGAATAGGTAACGAAGATTTTATGTATGCAGACGACATCACTCAAATAACAACACATCAAGGAAAATCTCGAGCGTTACAGGCCGAAAACACCAGGCGGGAATTAGAAAGGGTAAATAACTAGGAAAAACAATGGAAAATCCAAACCAGTCTCCCGAAATTCACAGTGATACCCTTATGCAGAAGGAAAACCCATCCATTAGTTACCAATAATGCCCAGATAGAATACAAAAGCAGAGGCACCCTCCTGGGCCCACATATATCCACGACAGGTTACTCCCATCATGTCCACATCATTACAGGAATAATATGGAACATGGGAGCATGTTATATATAAAAAAAATAGAAAAAATTCGACACGGTCGTAACAACGTTCGCAGCAAAACCAATGCTTATATTATAACCATTGTTTTGCTAATATTTCTTACCATTCCCAGTCCTACACGAGCACAAACCCGAAACCTTTCTTAGTTTCCCCGGAACCTTTTGTGTATAAAATCTTATGCAGTACTTACAGTATATTGTGGGGTTTTTTTCCATGCGGTATTTATTTACACAGTAATTAATTAACATGTTAGATATTCTACTTTCTACTTCTCGTAATAATTTGGACACTACTTATCGCTACTTAATTCAGATATTGATTTTACAAGACACTTTACGCCGTACACTTATTTTATGCGCTGCTGATTCTCGTGTGAAATAAATTGGGGGCTATTCTTCGGGTGATCCTGCATGAATACAATACTACAAAAACATAAACTTGTTGACTAGATACATTGTAGTAATCATGTTATGAATGAAACAAAAATCGATAAATAGATAAATTAATAAATAAAATGGTAAAACACAGAATAACTTAATAGAGCTGCTACTGGGGGTAAGGGGTAGGTTAGGTTATCGTTAGGGTGGTTAATCTTAAGGTGAAATAAACTGAGGAAATAATCTTAAGGCGAAATAAACTGAGGGAATAAGAAATAAACTGAGGAATAATCTTAAGGTGAAATAAACTGAGGAAATAATCTTGAGGTGAAGTAAACTGAGGAAATAATCTTAAGGTGAAATAAACTGAGGAAATAATCTTAAGGTGAAATAAACTGAGAGAATAATCTTCAGCTGAACCAAAAATTAATTTGTATCGTCACGTCAGTAAAACACGAAGGTTAACAGGAAATTTAGACTGGTCCGTTAGAGTATGCTTACAATGTTAACAGTAACTTTGTTGTTTACATGTTCGGCTTTGTTTATAATAGAAGTGACACTGGTTAGAGAACTTTATTCGTCATGCCTAACATTTAAGACGTATATACCTTTAAAATTAACGTTTTCTTGTAACTAATTTTATACTGTCCGCTTACATCGGTTCGTTTCACAATACATGACGCTACAATGTATTATAGTTGAATAAATTGTCATGGCGCCAGTGTAGTTCCTGGGACGAGTCCGTGAATTACATTGATCATCTAAACATCTGGGCATTCTTAGCTCGGTGAGAGGCAGCTAACCTGAGCTCAGCAACAAGCACACCAAGGAATCACATGTGGTACAGTTTTTAGTGCACACAGTAACAACAATAATCTAATCAGTCAGTGCAGCATTGTAGAGGAAGACAGTGTTATGGCCTGAATGAATCACAATTTCTGGCAAGCTTAGTTACGTCGTTTGTCCTCTCCGTTTGGTTAGTTTTATTAGTCGCAATTTAGCACAACCAACATATTAATGTGCTGACATTTACCTCTTTAAACAATGATTGAAACCTCCAGAGTTTTGTAATTATTGTACTGTAGTTTATTTTTCATATAACTTGGTTAAATGTGTGGCCCTGAATCGGTTGCTAGGACGGTGGTGGTGGTGGTGAGGGGTAGATGGGGGGTGGAAGCCGTCTACTGAACGTGACTGGACGACGGGTGGTGGGAGGCGTGTATTGGGATGTGGGTGATGGTGGGAGGCGGGGAGTGCAATAGAATGAGAGGGAGGGAGGGAGGGAGGGAGGGAGGGAGGGAGGGTGGGTTGGTGGGTGGGGGTGGGTGGGTGTTGTGAGAGGGTGCCACATGACAACTGGGTGGCACTGGCAGAGGCTTGCTTGGCGCGAACACACACACACCTACTACCACCTCGGGCTAACCTCTCGTCTCTCCTCAAGGTAAGACATACAACACAGGTGCTTCTTAAATCCTTCTTCTTTGTTCTTTAAAATGTCTGAACAATGATAAAGTCGTGAATGAAGAAGACGAGGCGTCACGTGACTTATATATCAGTCACTACCGTAATACTTTATTAGATAAAAACCTTGAGGGAGTTACAGTATACACAGCTCTCTGGCACATATTAACACCTCTCCCTTAGTAACTGTTGATTGTATTGTGCTAATTGTACCAAGTGATGAACAACTTCTGTGACTAGACTGCATCAGTCAGAATGGAACGAAAACTTATTTAGAGTGAAAGAACTGAGGCATCTAGATAAAGAAATCTACATATTCAACTACAGTATACAAGTTTTAGTAAAATAGACTGGACAGTGTCAGGGACTTCCCATTCTGTCAGGTCGATGCTGCTGCAGCTGAGATAAATCATCAGATCTGCTGGTGACGACCCTCGCAGAAAAATGTGTTCACGACGATAATATAATGTCCACTTAAGTTACTCGTCTACTATACAGTGTATGTTGCTTGTAATAGTCTCCAACTAACGTATAATTTGATGAATAAACTTATAAACAGGAAGCAAGTCATAGTCAGAACGAAATTTTATTCACTAATAAACCTATGAATGCCAGTGTTTGTTATAATTGATTTCCTAGACGAGAGAAATACAGCTACTGAGAAATGTTTTTGTTTTACAAATTTTACATTGACGGACATAATCAATACGGTCTTGTGTTATCAGTATAAGACTAGTTTAATAGATGTGCCGTGTGCTTGCAGTACTGCTACGCAACACAGTGGCTAGAGTACACCTAAAAGAATCACTTTGTCTCAAGTACAGTAGCTAAACCCAGTACTAATTCCATCTTATTAGACCCTTTAGACTAGAGAAAATTTTAACTTAATATATAACTTCGTCTATTTGTGACCAATAACATTCATCTATACAAGTGGTCAACTGACCATTTCCATCATTTTTTTTTTATTTTAAACCAAGTTCCCAATTGGTCAGGATGCAGCTGCAGATTTATACCGTGGACGCCTTCAGTTCAAGACCATTTTCGGGCAACCCAGCTGCCGTTGTCCCCCTCACGCAGGTCAGTTTATACACAAGCCCATATAACTTATACGTAGGCCAGCTAATACACAACTCAAATCAAACTACACACAGATTAGATTAGATTAGATTGCTCACGAGGGGGCTAGTTTATTGGGCACCCCCTTACATCCTGTGCAAGGTGAAGCGCAGAAGCGTTTACAGTGCCCATCTGGGAAGCATGCGGAGTTCATGCTTGCCTTTATGACTCTTGCATTAAGGGCGTAAAAGCCTGAAGGGTCATGGGTTTTGTCAGCAAGTTGCATAAAGTGACAGAATGATGAGTGTGTGGGGGGAAAATTCCCGGTTCAATTTATCTGTTTATGGCAAAGTGTGGCAGGTCCCTAATAATGTCAAGTGCCAGGCCTGTCACTAGGAGGAGGGATATCTGGTCAGGGAGGGAAGAGGTGTTGGTAAAGGCTGGGTACCTGTAGGAGGAGGTCATAGGGCAAGTGAGGATGTAGTAAGAGAGGGTGTGAGGGTCGGTTGACCACAAAGTTTACAAACAGTGCGGCCAGGCTCAGGGTTGCCAATGTACTAGGCGTGGCGAAGTACAGTGGGGGTGGAGGTGATATGGTGTGGTGGGACAGGTACAGTAAGGATGGAGGGAGGCACATAGGCATTGACAATATTGAGGGACATACCTTTTAGTGTGATTGTGATGGCGTGTACGTCGGTAGTGTCGGCTTCAAGGGGGACGTCGAGAGGTTGGTAGGGGACGTCCTTCTTGGCGTAGATACGTAGTCCACTAGCATGTCCGCAGGGTGGTCAATTGATGTGGAGAGCTGGATCAGATTATGCACAGCTTGGGTCAACCCTTGAACAAATCAGGTCAAGGTTATAACCAAATCAATCAACTTAAAGATAAATGAATCTGTCACACACTCATCTGTTTGGAAAAAAATTATATGCAAAAATCACACTCTGTCTACATTACTGTGTTAATACATAACGACTGCATTCAAACATCAATTTTTATAAATATGTACAATTCCAATTTACAAGTTCAAAGTGACATATATCAAATAATAAGAAAATTGATTCTTTCGTGTGAAAGTAAGGTGAAGAATAAATAATCAGAAAAATTTCACCCTCAGACGTTGGATGAGGACACACTTCAGCAGGTGGCCACGGAATTAAACCTGTCGGAGACTGCGTATGTGAAGCCTATAGTGGGTGAGGGTGAAGGTGTCCCTTGGATCACCGCTGCCCGCTACTCCCTCAGGTGGTTCACGCCTGTCCAGGAGATCCCTCTCTGTGGACACGCCACCCTCGCCACTGCCCACGTCCTATTCCATCAGCTAGGTACAGTGCTATAAGGGCATCAATTTTTCCAATGTTGTAATCTGCCTGAAATTACTTACTCGGTTGGTTAGATCTTTAGTTTTAATTTATCTTAATTACTTGTTTATTTTTAAAAAATTTTCGTGGTTACTCAGATCAAATAATCACATCAAAATCTCAATGCCGAGAACACAAAACCAAAGTTTTGTGATTAGTGTCTCTATATTAACTATGTTAACATGTGTATTTTAGTGGTTATATTTGTAGGGGAAATCCCTAGTTCTCATAATATGTTTTATCCTTTACGATGATGAGTCATCCTAGGGTTTGCGCAGAGCCTATTTGTCAACCATGATACGTAAAATTCAACTCCAGGTAACACAAGCAGTCAGCTAGAGTTTGAGACACTGAGTGGGGTGCTGGTGACAAGAAGGGATGGCCAAAACATCATCATGAACTTTCCCACTAATGTGGCTGAGGCACTCACCCCTGAGCAGGAGCAGCAGCTGACCCCGTTGGTCCAGGCAGCCACTCCAGGGCTGAGAGTCCACCAGGTCCTCCTCTCTCACACCCTCAAGTACCTCTTGATACGACTCCACGACTCGCACTCCAGGTGATTGACACTGAGGGCTGTTAATTAGTCAGTATATATAATGATCATTACAAATATAACTTTATTATTATTATTATCTTTTAGTTTAAGTGTATCTTCATATCTCTATCTACCTATTTAAGACTTCATTAAGCAATATTTTTGTATCAAATTTTCAATTCGTTAGGCCAAATCACATCATTAGGGAAATGATGTTACTCCACTGCAGTCCATTGCAACTCCCTCTCTCCCCAGTCGTTGCAACTACCTACACCACTCGAGTGGGGACGGGGACAGGCAGAGATGACTGCCGGGAGTCTCTAGTCACAACTCTGCATATGGGCGGCATAGATAAGATGGTCGTTTATGCACTGGGATTTAGGCAGCAGTGCAACCCGGTCCTGTCTGTGCGCTTGAGCAGCCCTTTCGAGAAGCCACTCTGCTCACCCCACATAGGGAGGGGGCTAGAAACGGTACCCTAAACATAGCCTGCCCCCCCCCCAAAAAAAAAACTGACTGGGCAACCGCACCAAGTAAGGTCATCCTAATGCAGTCGAAAACAGTCATAATAGCAGATTTAAGCAAAAACAAACTATCCAGCCTCTTATGGTCACTGCAATGAATGTCAGGACCCTTCTGGATACCGGCACAAATGAGCGTCCTGAAAGAAGTAACTCCCTTGTGGCAAAAGAGTTGTCTATGTATAACATCAACATAGCAGCCATTAGTGAGTCCCTGCTCCCAGACGAGGGTCGATTCACAGAATGGGGGTCTGGCTATACCTTCTTCTGGAAGGGTAATCCTGCTGTGGAGAGAAACCACATTTACGAAATTGGCTTTACCATTCGCCAATCCATTCTATATAGGCTAACTCAAAGTCTAATTATACTAAGTCAACCCACTTCGAGTCAAAAATTCGTCCTTCACCACACACGACGTCATCTGGCCAGCAGCTCGGGGGGTGGTCCGGGTGGCCCTGAAGTGAATGCACGTAAGACTCAGATTCCCTTTTAGCCTGCCCCTGGTTCAACCACACCTCCACCCTCGATCCAGCTTAACAGTAATGCCCTCTCTACTGTTACCCACTTCCAGTACCTTGGCTCCCACCTGTCCACCACTGTGGACATAGATGAAGAGATTCAACATCGGATCAAATGTGCATATCAAGCCTATGGCAGACTCAGTACCTGTGTCTTCAGCTGTAGCGAGCTGAAATTATCTACAATGTTGCATGTGTATAGAGTCGTGGTCCTTCCCACCTTGTTGCATAGCAGCGAGACATAGGTCACATACAGGAGGTACACTCACGAGCCATAGTTTCGATGCACCCTCTACCACTACTCCTAGCTCGAGGGGAGCCGTAGTCAGGGCTTCAAACCGAACGGTCCCTCTTGTATAGTGATGTTAAGTATAGTGATGGTAAATAAAGTGTCGTGAATTCACTAAAAAACCTGTATCGTGCATATATTCTCTCAAATATTACATCATGAACTGCTATTCGTACAACACAGCGAAGCTTAGAGCTACCACATTACACCACTGAACGATTGGGGAGTGAGAGGGGGGGGGACGTTCGGTATGAAGCCAAGGCTACGACTTCCATTGAGTCAGGAGTAGGGGTAGAGGGTGCATCGAAACTATGGCGCGTGAGTGTACCTCAAGGCACTTGAAATTTTTCACCAATGTAGTCTACGTTCCATCCCCCGAGTTCACTGAGAAGACAGGAGAATAAATGCCAGTATTCTTGCTGACATCAACTGTAGAAGCATCTAGGCTACCACTATCCACGAAAAACTATGTTGGACTGGGCATGATACACACATGGATGACAGTAGACTGCCAAAGTAGCTCCTTTACAGTCACCTAACGAATGGTAAATGCAACGCTGGTAGACAACAGAAAATGTATAAAGATAGTCTTAAGACAAACCTGAAAAGAGCCAAATCGACTCCCTCACCTGGGAGACGATCACTCCACACCATAACGTTTGGAGGAGCACCACACGAGGAGGTGTCAATACTTTCGAGTTTGTCCGACTGTATATCGAGGCAGACAAGTGCCAACGCCGGAAAAACGCTGCCCTCTCGAGTCACCTCAGAGTTCACCAATGAAGGTGACACCTTTAATAACTCATATCATTGTATCATAGCTGGATGGTCGTCATACTCTATTCCGAGTGACGGCAAAGTAGTTGTGGTGCAAGCGCGCGCGCGTGTGTGTGTGTGCGTGTGCGTGTGTGTGTGTGTGTGTGTTAAAATGAAAGGAGAGGCAATTGCAGTGAGGGAGTTTCACAGTTCCAAGAAGTGAAAAAAGGAATATGAACTGGAAGAAGATGTTCTTACATATGGAGTTATAACGAACATAAATCTCAGTGCAGCTGATTAAAGATGTTTTAACCCACACAATTTTAGTTTGAATCAAAGCAACTATTGTTACCAACCGTAACGTCCGAATTGAAACATTTGTCAGTTTTATAAAATTAGTTAACTAAGGGTAAGTGGCAGTGCATATTTTTGTTAGATAAATATTGTGCTAAATAGCTTCTATTTTTAACTTCAATTTACTAACCAGAGAGGAGTTGGAAGCCTTGAAGCCGAAGTACCGTGAGATGGAGGATGTGCACGACGGGTCACTGGTGATGGGTGTGGTGGTGAGTGTGGCGGGGGGCGGCGACACAACCTACCATGCCTTTTCTAGATTCTTCGCGCCCTTGTACGGCGTCGATGAGGATCCTGTCACAGGTTAGGTAGTATCAGCTTCTGCCACTCCTAGCGGGTGTTGTGCGTCACATTCTCTCGCCTGTAAGGCTTACAATCTTATCCAGAATATGATGGCAGCGAGTCCTATTTATACCCACCATGTTATTTCTAATTCTCAATATATTTGTAGTTTCCAGACATCCTTTTTGTTAATCTGTTGAGGAGAGAATCATATATGATCATCATAGCAGTCAGTGTCAAGGGTAAAATTGTTTTTGAATACCATTATACAAACAAAGGAATATAAATCCATATTAATTCTAGGTTGATATATTCTGAGGGCGAGTCATGGCGTATTTTGGTCGTCTCTGTTTTACTGAAGTATCACAATAAAACCCTTCATAAGCCGCCACCTCTCACCCCTCTCAGCTATACGGTATTATCGTTTGGTTACTCTTAATATTTCTGATATTCTCTCTGTGAACAATTGATTTCATATCACTGTTGAATCAACATTGAAAGAAAGGTCTTATGTACAAGTAGAGTGCTACTGGGCATCTTGAGTTGAACCTACAAGTGCCCTCCTCTTATTCAAAATACCACTCATACTATATGGAGAGACTGGCTTTAGAATTTCAAATTAAATCCTAAAATATATTGTAAATTTTCGAAATGTGCATAAAAGTGTAATTGACTAATAAAAAGGGCGCATTTTTTCGTTTATCCTCTTTGTCAGTTGTTGGTTGCCAGTTAGTGGTCGGTCAGTTCTGTTACGCTCTCTTGACAAGTACTGAGCAAGTATGAGCTCTTAATGTAGTACATGAAGATACTTGATTGCCATCGGGGGATCCTGTAGTGATGGACCTGGGGGGGGGGGCAGTGTTGGTGCTAACGTCAGGTATCCAACCTTTAATTCGTTATTTTGTTATCAAAATCGAGAATCTCTTTTTTCTGGATAACCTTTCTCTTAATTACAACTTACTATATGATATAATTATAACTTATGATTGTGTTCCACAGTGCCAAATAATCTTTTTAATCCTAACTTAGCGGGAGTGTCATGACCTTCACAGGCCTCAGTGCCCCTTCTTGTGTCCTTTGTTTATCTGGTGTGGTTGCCCATAATCCGTATCACATTTCGTTTAGTATGTCTTAGTAGATACAGGTATCACTGTGCTGACTTAATTATGTCATCACCACATTTCTTGTTCTTCCTATGAAGGATAACCAGTCAATAATAGTACATATTTTTATCTTTTCCTCTGTGCTTCTCATGGTTAGTGGCATCAATCATTCTAACATTAACCAAAACACTGACGCCTCTATTGTACAGTTGCGGTAATGTGTTCCTACACCCCTGTGGTAACCTGTGGCCAACCTTAACCCATATGACCTATAACAAACCTAATCCACCAATCACGTCCGTCGTTTCACGACCAATACCCATTCATTCATAAATAGCGATACTACTACTGTGACGTTGCCGTGTGGAGACACGGCTTACCACAGGGAGTGTAGGAACTTATTTCAGCAACTGTACAAAGCTGATTTTCTCCCAACTACAATTCCAGAAACCATTGCCCCAGTTACAGCATTCACTTTATCAGAGCAACCTTGTTAATATTATGGAGTTCATTGTCCAATTCCCATCACTCAATACACATAAAACCGAGAATTTCAAAACGCAGCGTAACACTTTTAATAAGTAAGTTTGTTTGTGTGGCTACACCACCTTTAAGTTACCACTCTGCTTTTCAGGTTCTGCCCACACTGTGTTAGGGCCATACTGGGCTGCCGAATTGGGCAGGAAGGAGCTCAACTGTAAGTACCTCTTCTGTTGTCTTTTTTTTTTATCTGTTGTCTTTTCAGTCTTCCCTCCTTACCAATAGAAAGTTTACCCTGTGATCATCTGTTGCAATACATCAATTTATTAAGAAATCCGCATCTTACGATACAAATTCTTACAATTAAAGTACAGAACATATAAAATTGCTATAATCAATTGTTATGTGCAGGGTCTGAGGGGGTACTGCCCCCCCCACCGTGGCTACGGGTCCGCAACAGGACAGTATCAAAGGGTGATGATTGGTTCTCTTGAGGTATAAGGACTATTTATAACTTAGTTTGTTATGAAGGTAAAAAAACATCTTATTGAATGTAGGATAAGTTGATCCATTGATTCAAGGTACCAGTACATATCTTTATGAAGGTATAACGGCAGTTATTAGATAATCTGTTGTAAAGATGGAAGTCAGGCATTATCAGGCTTTCCTTTACTTACAACCCCTCCTTAAAACACACTCTATCTTTCTCACCCACAGTTCGTCAGTGTTCCAAACGTGGCGGGGATGTGAGGGTAAATGTGCAAGATGATGGTCGTGTGGACATCACTGGGCCAGCCACCACAGTCATCCAAGGTCACATTAATGTATGAGAACTGTGTGACCTTTGCTTGGCGTGTATACATATGTAAACCTAGTATGTGTACTGCACATATGCAAGTTTTATGTATATATGTATGTCTGAGCTTGTACTTAAAAGTGTGTATTCCAATCAGCCAATATGAGCTTGAAGAGGACTATTTTTGAGTTGTCATATTAATGAACTGATGATGCTTTGTAAGACTTGAGGATGATGATGATTATGATACAAACTTGATCGGAATAAAAATGGAATATGAAATCTTAGACATTGATCTTGACTATTAGTAAAAAAGAGGGAGTGCTTTGTTAGAGTAAAAACAAATACAGAAAGAATTAAGTCAGTAGCTACAGTGCAGAATATGTTCTTTATCAATAAACAAAAGCAATCGAGGTATTTTTCTACCCTTGAGACTCCAAAATTATAAAGCCTTTCAACAGCCTTTTACTCAAATTGAAGTTAATGTCCGGATTTATTAAGTCGTTTAGATTATTAAATGCTGTGTTTGCTTAACCTAGTATTGTAATAATTTCTTTCATACATCTACCATCACAGCTAATGTTACTTCCAAAATAAACAAAATCTTCCACTTGTTTAAGTTCCCTGTTGCCTACCATAATTTTTATTTGAGGATTTATTGACATTTTTTAAACAACCATCACTTTTATCGTCACAGCATTGACTCTTAACCCATATTCTTCACTTTTTTGGCACTACTCTGTTAGCCATTTTTTGTAAGGCCTCTTCACTATCCGTGATCAGAGCAGTATCATCTGCATAGCATATACGTAATATTAATTTAAGTTAATTTATCATTTTCCTTTATTCCTTCATTGTTACTCAGAACCAGTGTTATATAGCGAGACTAAGTGCCGCCCCAGCCCCTCAGGGTATCCGTTAAATTTCTCGAAATCAATTGCTCGACAGTAAATTGCTCGAAATCAATTGCTCGAAAAATAATTTCTCGAACTATCAATTGCTCGACAGTAAATTGCTCGAAATCATTTGCGCGAAAAATAATATCTCGAACGATCAGTGTATTGGGCCGGCTGTTGTTTGTTTGCTTCATAAATGACATGCCAGAAGCTGTACATTCCACCACACCAAGCAGACAGTGAAGAGCTGCAGAAAGATCCCTGTGAGTTTCAAGGATGGTCTAAGAAATGGCTACTAAGATTCAATGTCATGAAGTGTAAGAGGATGCACTGAGACGTACGGACGAAAGAGGGGAGTATAATATATCCCAACGGGACGAATAAACTACACGAATTGAGACTGAATGTGAAAAGGACCTAGGTGTGCTTGTTGAAAACGAGCTGAAGTTCTCGGGCAACTAAGTTATTAGGTTTTATAAGAAGGTCGTTCAGATCTTTAAGAACGAGGTGCTTCCTCGCCTGGACTACTGTCATCCCGTCTGGTCCTCGAGATATGCTAGGCACCTCAGCTACCCTGAGAGAGTAATGCGCCTGCAATTGCCTAGTTTACTGTATACTACAAACGGGCAAAGGGGGACCTAATTGAGGTGTAAAACATATCAAAGGGCACTACTTAGTCGAATGTCCCTATCTGGAGCTGGCGTACGCTCGCCCCACAAGGAGTCACAGCTCAATGTTGAAGAAGCCGCAAGTCCAGAAAACTGTGAGGACGAACTTTTTCGGAGTGAGCGTTGTGAACTCTTGGAACAACCAGCTAGAGAGTGTTATGACGGCACAGAGTGTGAGCTCTTTCAAGACCAGATTTAACCAGCACTGGAGTAGGTTCAGATACATTCAGGAGCCGGTGCATGCCCAGTACTTGCCACCACTGCGTAAGAGACGTAACCGATCGCCCAAGCGGCTAACGAGCCAATCAGTGGTGAAGACTGAAAAGGATAAAAGTAAAAGCAATATGTAAGTAAATCTTAAACAAAATGATGCAAGTCATTTTAGAAAATTCTTACATAGGTAATCCATCAATATACGCAAGAAAATCTCCCCCAAACTTGCCAAAATAACTGCTGCTTGAAATAGAAAATAATCAAAACACCGAGTTCACAAAAATTATAATAGTAAATTATTCATCGGCAAAACAATAAAAGGTTTCTAATGGCACAATAAAAGCAAAAGTATAAAAGTAAGGGTTACAAAATCTTAATTCTTAGACAAGATATACTGTATCTTTTAAGAGATGATTTAAACGGAGCGCAGCCGCAGTCTTTTCTCGGATGGGTAGGGTATGTTGTTCAACACCTTCAGTCCTTCACACCATGATATTTTATGGAGGTCTGGGATTGAGAAGAGCTTGTAGTGGATTTCTCCCCTACAAACGCTGTTTGTCGCTGAGTAGCCGACCCCACGAATTCCCCAGTGTATGCCTCGTGGTCTGGGTCAACCAGCGCCGCCTTACATGACGGAGGTCAACTATCTACCCACGCCTACCTCCGCTATAAAAGACCTGACCTCGTGGTGACCGCTCTCTTCTTCTAGCTACAGCCGCAGCCTGACGTTGTACACTCCTCCATACAAATGTTTGCCGATGACGCCAAGTTATTTCGGGAAATTAAGAACCAAGCGGACTGTGAAGAGCTGCAGAAGGACCTCTGTGGGCTCCAGGAATGGTCGAAGGAATGGCTGCTGAGATTCAATGTCACGAAGTGTAAGAGGATGCACCTGGGGCGTACCAACGGTAAGGAGGCGTACCATATGTCCCAACGGGATGAAGAAAATGTACTAGTTGAGACTGTGTGTGAGAAGGACCTAGGTGTGTATGTTGACAATGAGCTGAAGTTCTCGGGCCATTGTGAGAAGAAGGTAAATCAGGCAAATAAATTATTGGGTCTTATAAGAAGGTCGTTCAGATATCTAGACGGTCCGTCCCTCGTGACGATCTTCAGGAGTGAAGTGCTTCCCCATCTGGAGTACTGTCACCCCATCTGGTCCCCGAGATATGCTAGGGACTGTCAGTTGGTTGAAAATGTTCAAAGGAGGGCCACCAAACTGGTGCCTGCACTTCGGCATCTCAGCTACCCTGAGAGATTGGAGCGCCTGAACTTGCCTAGCTTATACTACAGACGGGCAAGGGGGGACCTAGTTGAGGTTTATAAGCATCTCAGGGGGCACTACTCAGTTGAGTGTCCTTACTTGGAGCTGGCGGACGCTCGCCCCACAAGGGGTCACAGCTCAAGATTGAAGAAGCCGCAAGTCCGGAAAACCGTGAGGGCAAACTTTTTCGGAGTGAGGGTTGTAAACTCTTGGAACAATCTACTACCAGAGAGTGTTGTGACGGCACCGAGTGTGAGCTCTTTCAAGAGAAGACTTGACCAACACTGGAGCGGGTTCAGGTACATTCAGGAGCCGGTGCATGCCCAGTATTTGCCAACAGTGCGTGACAGAGACGTGACCGATCGCCCGGGCGGCTAGCGAGCCGACCTTTTGGTGAAGAATATAAAGGAAAAGAGACGTGACCGATCGCCCAAGCGGCTAACAGGCCGATCAGTGGCGAAGAGGATAAAAGTAAAAGTAACACCACCTCCTCCGCCGTTGCCTGGCGGCCCTCGCTCCCGCCGGCGAGCATGGCGACCCACAAGCTGTCCTCCTCTGAGCGTCCTCACCAACCAGCTCTCTCTACATCACGCTTGTAACCATGCTGCCTTCCCAGCACCAAGCTGCATTGTGCATCCAATACAACATGTATACAGAGAGCACATTGTGAGTTTCCTTTCTCCATCCCATCCTGAGTGCGAACCAAACAACCTGAACCCCACAATATATAGTACAAACAATATTTTTTAATAATCTAGTAACTTTCACTATTTTCCCTGTACTTTTCTTTATCTTGGACTCGCATATAGAGTTTTTGTCATAAGTTTTAGTTGTTGATTGAATAGTGTATTACTAACCTTGGTCAAAACCTTAGCGTTTTTCAAAATGTGGTAAAATTTCTAAAAACCCTAATGAGCTTTCAGTATTTCAATTGTGATGTAATTTTTATAGATATATTTAGTCTACAAAATTAAAAGTAATCTATGGTGAGCTACTTTAGCGGCCTTAGATGTACGGGTATATTGGGGTTGGCAACACTGTGAAGCGTTTGTTTACATAGAGTATTTCAAACAACAAGATGCTGGCTGATACAAAATTCATGAAACTCCAAAATTTAAGCTGTGCATAGAGTTTAAGGATACTTGCAAGTTATTAAAAACACCACGTCACATAAGAAACCAACCAGCGCTTTATTATAAAAGTAATAAAGGAAGCAAGATGAAATTGCCCAGTAAAAAGTTGTTGGAGAGAATCGTCCAACGTCACACAGGCAGGAGGAGGAGGATCTCTAAGGAAGCATCTTCATTAATATTTCTACATCATGTCATATTTATGAAAAAGTTAGCCAAGGCATGTGACAATGTTGCCTTCAGGTGAGAGATGCAGTATTTACTATTTACATTTGCCATTTGCTTTATTTTTTGACAGGACCATCAAAGGTGATCTATCTTCAGAAGCAAAAAAAAATCAGGAAATGTATGAGAACACCATTACCACCAGAAGGTGTTGTTTGATTTCATTCATTTTTTTCCACATGTTCTTATCATTATACAATAGCAAGTATTTTAAAAGAGGCAACATTTACTGGAACTGGTAATTATATAGGACTAACCCGCGAGTGAAATTGATTGCAAACAATTATAAAGACGTTGTATTTTCATTGTTATATTATAGTGGACACTGGTAGTTTGTGGAAATATGTTAAAAAAATTTATTTTTAAGATAAACGCTACTTAACATTTGTGGGTATGAAGAAAAGACCTAACCAACCAAACAAACCTACCCAACCTTACCAAACTTACCCGGTATATTAAATAGAAAGAACTTACTATGATATGGTGAAATTTGAGGCATTTTCTGGACGTGAGATGATACGGCCACATTGGCGCTATGCAGCCCTGGCAGGTTAGTCCTATATATTAACCCTAGAACCTAATAGAACCTGACCTAACCAACAAAAAAACCAACCTATCCTTGGTTACGATTGGTTTTGCAGATGTTCGCATTTGCTATAGAAAGAGTTATTATTTTGCTATTTGGACTTCAGATATACAGTAGGTTATGTTACCTTTCAACATTCTTGGATAGTATTTATTTTGGAGGTAATGTAAAAAGTTACACCATTTGCAGTAAAACTCCTCTGAAAAGTCTGCCAAATTGCTGTGTGTCATCTGTTTGTTTACAACCAACCCACCCAGTCTGAGCGTACTCTTGTGTCCACTAAAACTGTATAATTACACGTTGATGCTTCAACAAAGTTGCTTTCATTGGTACCAGATATCAAAATAAGTAATTTCTGTTTAATATGGTCTCACCCTCCTCTGTATATATACACCTTGATTTGTATTTCTCTCTCTAGTCTGTACTCACCCCTGAAGATGTGACTTACACGAAAGCGCTTGGGAACTTCGTGTTTTCTTCTTTCCTTGTGGTTATCAGCATATACCTAGATCACGCGCACCTACAGTGACCCCTCGGTTAACGAACTCAATCCGTTCCAGAAGGTCGTTTGTTAACCGAAAAGTTCGTTAACCGAAACCATTGTTTCAATGGGTTTTTGGGAAATTGGTTCCAGCTCACCGAAAATTTCCTAAATTCAACAAAAATGGTAGAAAAGTTCACTTACTTTGAGGTGTGTATGTAGAAGGCTCCTGGATGATGATGATGGGAATTAGAATGGGGGTGGAAGAGAAGTCACCCCATGGCACCATTTCATCCATAAAATTTTAGTTCTCTTGGTGTATTTCAAGATTATTTTCTTTAAATCAACACTGTACTGCATTATATATTGTCAATATGTAAAATATATTTCAAAATGACCAATAATTTGCTTGGAAACACAGAAAAAAAGCGTTTAGTTGACGAGTCTCAAGCAAGATGTTACCTCCACTGAAAACAGAGAGAGACTAATGCCTGTCTGGTGTGTTAACAGGCTGGATGGCACGCCAGAAACTAGTTTCTTTACCTTCAATTATGTTCAATAATTGTTAAAATGACTAAAAAAGTTAATATTAAACTTTTAAAATTATTGAATAGTATAAACTTCTTGATATTTACTAAAATAGTAAGGAATTTAAGCCCTAGAACCGATTAATGTATTGGCGGACTGATACTAAAGCTGGTTGCCCGGTGAGTGCAAGCGAAAACATGTTGAGCTCGGTTCGTAAGAAATTCGTTAACCGAATTTTTGTTCGTTAACCGAATTGAAGATCCTTATGGAAGGCAGTTCATTAACCGAAATTTCGTTAACCGAGGCGTTCGTTAAACGAGGGGTCACTGTATATATTCCCCTTTAAATACAGGGTGGCTTAAAACAAGAGCAATCATATCAATATGTATCCATAGTTCAATTTCATTCTTACTCCTGTTAATGCTATGTTTTGCAGTAAAACCTATTTAACAGAATAGTGTAAGACACTGTGGTAATGCACCATAGAAATATTACAAAAGCAATACCAGTGTAATGTTCCCCAAGAGTGATGCTGCTTTAAGCTTGTCTTTAAAAATAAATAGGTCTGCTTTTGAAAGTCCTGAGATGCCATTGTCAGAACCTCAGCATCTTTTGATGCTGCAAAAAAAAAAAGCTCAAGCTAGAAAAATCATTATATTTTTTGTATGTAAATCAAAACATGTTTTGGGGGGGTAGCTCTGGATTTTCATAAACCAGATCTTCGTAAATTGGGGACTGTGTTTATAAATTGTAGACAGGAAATATTCTGTTGCTTCAGGGAGTAGTGATCCTGCCTTGCAAACAAAGAGGGTGCTTTGAATTTCTACATATTAGAACACCCAGTTCCCTCTAATGGCCATAAAGCAGTGATGATGACACTTTTGTTTAGCTCCAGTTACAACTTTCACATCCCTAACATTACATATTTCAGTCCTGTAGTCAGCATTACTTTGATGATTTGTTAGATAGTGTATCCTATTACTGTAACATGTTAAGGCTTCTGACTACAGCAGGTACTGGAAGGGAATTTGAGTAGAAATATTTGCAAGTTTAAAATGGGAGTTAATATTTTAATCTTTAATTCTTTTATTAGTATCCCCCCATACTGTATTAGTAGGATGCTAATTTTTTTTTGTATTCCTCATATTAGTAGTCCTGTACAGTATGATCATATTCAATAGCTTCCTGGTAGTTTGTCACAAATTCCCCATCTGTATATTATCCTCATTAAAAGTTTATTTTCAGGCAGCGAAAAATGCAGATAACAGAAGAGGATGTTGAGATGGTTTCCCCAAGATTGCTGACCACATTTTGTGAAGGTGAAAAAATTAGATTGAGGGCTCAAAAGTCTGCGTCTTCGAGGAAAAGAACAAAGAGCACTAATGCGTCATGGGATGTTACCTCTAATGATGATGATGATGATGATGATGATGATGATGATAAGGATGATGATGAAGCAGATGAACCTGAAGAAATCTCAGAGGGTGATGAAACAGAGGATGATGAAAGAGAAGATGATGAAAGAGAAAATGTGAATAGAGGATTTTAGAAAGGTGTACTGTATGTAGAACAATTTATATAAGGTGAGGTTTTTGTTTTCTTTTGAGCAGCTTAACGAGATTTAATTTCTCTTATGGGAACCATTGAAGTTCATTTCATATTTTTCTTAGATCATATAAAAACTCTAAGGTTGCTTGAAACAGTAAGATGAAAATAATAATAATGTTAAGAATATACTGTAATTCAGTACAATGGATGTAGTTTTGATAACAGAAAATTAATGGTTAATAGATGAATGCATTATAGGTGTGATTTAATTTTTATATTGAAAGGCTTAGTTTTAAATACATTTTGCAGAATATCAAATTGTCTTCTTTTGCAAGAGACTCCCACCCAAGATTCCACTTGGTTTGCTGAAAATTAACATTGTATGAGGTTACCAATTAAAGAAATAAAGCTTATAAATGGTTATTCTACACTTCTACTACTCACTTGTGGCCCTCCAAAATCTCTAGCTTTTCAAGCTGTGAAAATGCTTATCTTTGTGTTCTCAGATTAAACACTAGTTTTACCGAGCACTTAATTGGTGGTACTGTACTTAACACTTTCAGAAGATGAGTATTTCCTATTACCGGTATTGCCTCCAGCAGTAGACTTGAATGTGATGCATAAAATATAAAGAAAATAAGAAAATGTAATAATACAAATGAAGTCTTGGAAGATATTTAGTAGGAAGGGTTGCACTGTATAGGCATTTAAAATTTTTATGTTTGCAAACATTTAAGTTGCTTTGCAAAGTGTCAATAATGCTGCTCAGTTAGAATTCTTTCCCCAGCTTGTGTTCAGGACTGTATTTGCCTATACAGAATTGTGGTTAATTTATTAACATTTTTATAAGAAGATATCGCGATGTAGAACAAAAAATTTCACCAAAATTATAAAATTTATTTCGTGTTGATTCTGGTGGTATAGTGCAGGCGCTTATGTAGCAATATGTGGTCCTGTAAAAATTTCATGTTAATTTTTGACACCATTGTTACGACCATAGGGTAGATCGTTACATACACAAATCACTTAAGTCCTTCAAATATATCATTATTTATTATTATATTATTAATCCCAAGTTCTCCCAACAAAGTTCAAGTTAACAGGTCAAAACCTAAACAAGTCAATAAAAATATGAACATTTATTAACTTATTCCACCACCACATAATAAATACCTGTACTGTATACACAAAATAAAATAAATAACAATAATAATAAGATGTTTGGAAGTGGCTGAGTAAGGACTGAAGGCCAACAAGATCACACAAAATCACTATCAAGTAATAAAAAATCTCAATTGTCAAATGCCAACTCCCAAAACACCAGAGAGAGGGTATACTACTTAGCTTAAGACAACTGTGCCTAGACTGACTACCGACTACCAGCCGGTCACCGACGTCACCTCTCTACTACCAAATACTGATGTAACATATCCCGATTGGCCAAAACGTAAACTTTGTATAAATTACCCTATTGACATTAATTCCACTTATCTAACCTATAAACAAACCTAATACAATCAAACGTAATACAATACGTAAATACAAATTTAATACTCAAATGATGACTCAGTCAGTGTGGGCGAGTAATGAGCGAAACTGCTCAAGCCAACCACACACCATCCAAACCAACGTATTTCATACCAAGAACAGAAACTTATGGTGGACACTCGTAACACCATACATCATTTTAAACCTTGGAACCTGTAGATTAAGAAACTATGTGGTGTATTTTTTCTGATGGGATTTTAGGTTGTATTTGTCTAGAGAAATAAGCGAGGAAAAAAATCGCTCATTGGGCATGAAGCACTGAGTGTCTAAGGTGAAAAGGGATCAAATACTACCATTTGGGTTTTTAAATTAAGTTCAATACATAAACTATCAAAATCATAAATAACCCAGTCAGAATAATATATGCATAAAGTGTGCTTACATGTATCTGTTAGATCCAGTGTAATGAACGGACTTTTAGGAATGCTATAGAGCATTTGAATCACACATTCAAAGTTAAAGGTGGTCTTAATGGCATTACTCTGAAGCCAGCCACATTAAGAAGGTTCTTCCTTGCTTCACCTGAGTTGCCCCATCTTGCTGAAGAAGTTGGAAGTTTTGCTAATCTGAAAGATTACAAAAGAACAAAACACCATGAGCTCTCTACAGCTATTGTCAGCTGTCAATTTGCTGATGTACAGAAGCTGCACACTGTTATTGCTGACTGTAACTAGAGCTGTATTGCTAGAATATGTGCATATGAGTTTGGAAGACAAAGTTATGAAAATTTTGTCACGCAACACATTGTTGGTCCAATAAGCATATGGGAAAAGATGTCCAAAGTTAATCTTCTGTCATGGAAAGCAGCAAACAAGACTTCAACCATCAAATTACCCTCCCAAATTATAGAAATTAAGGAAGACATCTTTGTTTGCCAAGATGTCTCTTCTCCTCAAATGGGTCTGTCCTTGTTTGCCAAGACAAAAGCAGGGTCATGGGTCTCCTTGAAGCAGCTCCCAAAGAGTGAAGAGTCTACTGATGTTCAAAGCATCGCCGATCCACAAAAGAAACCATGGCATTAGTTCACGAACTATCAACTTTGTCTGTCAAAAAATGTGCAGAGTTTGCAGACCACTTCATCAAAACATTATCAGCTTGGCCAAAAAGTTATGATGCTTTACACCTTGTCTTTGATCGTTACCGGGAAGGAAATGCATACAGCTTTGAAATAACAGATTCAACACAGATTAAAGTCTCACTCAAGAAGTTACTCAGCAACAACAAGACAAAAGCATCATTGACTACCTATGTGGGAAACAAAGCATTGCTTTTATTACACTCAAGCAAAACCTCATTTGTGCTATCAATAGTGAACGGTGTTCAGTCAAGTGGTGAAAATGTTGAACTGTTGAAAAGTAACCATGAGGAAGCAGATGCTCTTCTCATCATTCATGCCATATATGCATCACAGAAAGGCAACATTGTACATATCAAGTCACCAGACACTGATGTCTTTGTTCTAGGCATATCAAAGCAGCCTCAACTTGGAGAAAATGCAAGTACGTATGATAACAGGTACCGGTGAGCAACGACACATTGTTTCTTTCAAACCCACATATGATGTTATTGGGACAGACATGGCAGAGAGCTTTCCAGGTTTCCACACCTTCACAGGATTTGACTGCACTAGAAAATTTGCTGGCAAAGAAAAGAAAATATTTTGGAGCACTTTGATGAAATCTAACACAAAGGTCCTAAATGCATTCAAGATGCAGAGTAGACCAAATGCCCTTCCTGCAGACATGTTTATTGGTCTAGAGGAATTAGTATGCAAGCTCTTCTGTCCATGAATGACTTTCACTGAAGTGTCAAAACTTAGATGGCATCTCTTCAAGAAAATGCAGGCAGAGGCTGAAAAAGTGCCACTGACTACAGCAACTCTAAAATATCATATACTGTATCTTGTGATGCAGACAGTGAAATGCTCTCACCATTGGAGCATGGCTGGAAGATTGAAAATGACTGTTTCATACCAGTAATATCAGACCTGCCACCAGCTCCAGAAGCTTGTATTAGCCCCTGTCTCATGGCAATAACAATTATATAAATTTGGGTTAATACATTTAGTTTATATTATTCAATCACCCCACGGTAATTTTCTATAAGCTGTGAGTTGCCATGTGCTGTTCACGTGACGGGAAATTCCTCTATCAGTAGGCCGACCTTGAGAATGTAGGGTTAGCCCGGCTTCTCCTTCAGAGGCACCTCTCCCTCAAAGGCACCAGTCTTCACTTGAGCCTCACGAGAATCAGACGAGTGACTTAACTCAGTCAAGCTGAGCCCTGTCCTTAACTAACACTCACAGCTTACAGTGTTAATTATGGTGCACTTACTCATAGCCTGTGACCTTTTTAGTTTGTCATTAAATGGAGAGAAAAGACCATTTGGGTTTGTAACTTAACCCCTTAACTTATTTATATAAGCCAAGTTAAAAGGGAGCTCTACCCAAAGCTTATATAATAAGCTGTCACAAACCTTGTTGAGTGTGGATGTGGCATCAGCAAATGTGGATCATTGTCATGTTCATGCAGAAAGAATAACATGGCATGCACCGAGATATGTACAGGTGCTCCCCGACTTACGACTGGGTTAGGGACCCAAATCCAGGTCGTGAGTCGAAATGGTCGTAAGTCCGATATAGATGAAAAATAATTAAAAAAAAATAAAAAAAGAACATAAAATCTACAATGAAATACAGTACAGTAAAAGGAATGAGGAATGGATACAGTGTGACTGAGCACTTACCTTTAATGTAGTCAGCCGAATGCACATGGGGCCCCCATAATTTTCTATTTACAGGCATACATGGAGACTATATTAATTGGATGAAGCAGAGGAGGAGACAGGGCTGGATGGGTCATCAATGTCGCTTTCTTCAGACAGGTTTATGTACTGTGGAAACTTGCTGGTTGAAGGTATTGGATCATCCTGAGGGAGTGAAGAGGCAGCACTGGTGGGGCGTGAGGAGACAGCACTGGGGGACTTCTTAAAATAGATGTCCAATTTAGACTGCACAGTTTGCTTTTTCTTTTCATTATAAATTTCTCTGCAGCAAGCAAGTGGATCTTGGATCATTCTGTCTACTTTGGCATAACACTCATAATTTTGATCCATGCCATCAAACATTTGCATTCCTTTATTAATTGTAGCAAATGCCTCTGCCATTTGCTTCACTGAAAACTTTTTGGGGGGTGCAGGTCCTTCTTCTACATTTAGACTGGCTTCTTCCTCTGCATCTTTGTGTGCTTCCAGTTCGATGAGATCTTCGTTACTGAGCTCTTCTGCTACACTTTCAACCAACTGTTCAACATCTTCATTATCAATTTCTAACTCAAGCTGTTCACTTAACTCCACTATCTTGTTACTAATATCCGAAATAACTTCATTTTCATTAAATCCTCTAAAACTGTTCACATATCTTTGCAGGATTTTCTTCCATATTCCATTCATGCAATTTTTTGTAACCTGATCCCATGCTGCTCTAATGTTCTTTATACATGAGAAAACGTTGTACTCCTTCCAAAACTCTCTGAGCGTTTTCTCACCTTCAGTAGCAGCAACAGCCTGAGCGAAGGGCGTACGTAATTAATACGCTTTAAAGGTAACACCTTGATCCATGGGTTGGATGACAGAGGTAGTGTTAGGTGGAATGTACACTACCTTAACATCAGGGTGCATGTCGTCCAGGTGTGGTGGGTGTCCTGGAGCATTATCCAAAATCAGCAAAATCTTGAATGGAATCCGTTGTTGCAGACAATACTCCTTGGCTTGAGGAATGAAACAATTCATGAACCAATCCTCAAACAGTACAATGGTCATCCAGGCTTTCTTTTTACTGTAATAAAACACTGGCAGTGTGTGCTTGCTGACATGTT